GTACTTCCCAGTACTACTTCGTACTACAACGCTTGCACAAAGTACTTCCCAGTACTACTTCGTACTACAAAGCTTGCACAAAGTGCTTGCCAGTATTCCTTGGCACTGCAAAGCTTGCACAAGATACTTCCCAGTACTACTTCGTACTGCAGCGCTTGCACAAAGTACTTCCCAGTACTACTTCGTACTACAAAGCTTGCACAATGCACTTCCCAGTACTACTTCGTACTACAAAGCTTGCACAAAGTATTTCCAAGTACTACTTCGTACTACAACGCTTGCACAAAAGTACTTCCCAGTATTACTTGTACTTCTTCGTACTACAACGATTGCACAATGCCCTTCCCAGTACTAGTTCGTACTACAAAGTTGCACAATGTACTTCCCAGTGCTAGTTCGTACTGCAATGCTTGCACAAAGTACTTCCCAGTACCACTTTGTACTACAACGCTTGCACAAAGTGCTTGCCAGTATTCCTTGGTACTGCAAAGCTTGCACAAGATTCTTCCCAGTACTACTTCGTACTACAAAGCTTTTACGCACAGAAAAGCGTTTACACACAGAAGCTTTTGCACAAAAGAAGCTTTTGCACACAGAAGCTTTACAGACAGAAAAGCTTTTACACAGCAAAGCTTTTGCGCAGCAAAGCTTTTACACACAGAAGCTTTTTTCACACAGAAGCTTTAGATAAAGAAGCTTTGTCACACAGAAGCTGTCGCACAGAGAAGCTTTTAGACACAAAAGCTTTTGCGCACAGAAGCTTTTACACAGAAAAGCGATCACACACACAGAAGCTTTACACACAGAAGCTTTTGCACACAGAAGCTTGTACACAGAGAAGGTTTCTACACACAAAACTTGTACACACAGAAGCTTTCGCACTGTCAGATAAACATTTACATCAAGAGGCTTTTACAGAGAAATTTCAGCTCCAAAACCAGATATCATCGACTCCAAAGCAAAAAAATATATTTTGAAATATTTTGAAGCACTTTTTAAAAAGATTTTTTCAAGGAAAATCACCAACGCCAAAATTGAGAAAAGCTGCTGACAAGTCACTATCGAACCTTGACGCAGCCACTCAAATACGATTTACGATGTCCAGCTGCAAAAGACAATACTATTGCGCACGCACAGCGCATTGAATCTTCAAAGATCGCTAGGAGCCACTTCACGCACGAAAACATATAGGGCTTGGTGCGATTTCCAACGTCCAAACATGACCTTGACACAGCAGTTCCATACGTCACAATGGAACTACGTCGACCAAGGCTGCAAACATATTAAGGAAGCAGCCGTTTCAGTGAGATCTGCACACCTGAATTGCACTTTACCGTGGACGACGCGCCCGAGCGCCAGCCGCACCCGTCGTACAGACGAGGTTCCCCCCATCGACGCCGGGAGCCTTTTTATGCGAGAAAACGCAGGGTTTCGTGCGATTTCAAACACACAAACATCACCTTGACACAGCAGTTCCACTGCGATCTGCAATCACTGCCTTGCAAATCACCATAGAACTACGTCGACCAAGGCTGCAAACATACCCACGAAGCAGCCATTGCAGCGCGATCTGCGCACCTAAATTGCACTTTGCAATGGAGGACGCGCCCGAGCGCGAGCCGCACCCGTCGCACAACAAGGTTCCGCCCATTGACGCCGGGAGCCACTTTGTGCGAGAAAACGTAGGGTTTCGTTCGATTCCTCACGTCCAAACATTACCTTGAAGCAGCAGTTCCATTGCGATTTGCAATCACTGCCTTGCAAAAGCCACTACAACCACATCTTCACGTCCGGACTCTCACATCTCTATAGTCTCTTCACATCCGGACTCTCTCACAGCCCTGCTCTCTGACATCTCTACTCTCTCTACTCACCTCACCTCACTCACTCACTTACTCACTCACTCACTCGCTCGCTCACTCACTCACTCACTCTCTCTCTCTCTCTCTCGCTCGCTCTCTCTCTCTCTCTCTCTCTCTCTCTCCCTCTCTCCATCCCTACTCTCTCCATCTCTAATCTCTCCACATCCCGCCACATCCCTACTCTTTCCATCTCTAATCGCTGCACATCCCTACTCTCCTCATCTCTACTCTCTCACATCCCTACTCTCTTCACATCTCTAATCTTTCCACATCCCGACTCTCTCCACCTCTAATCTCTGCATCTCTAATCTCTGCACACCCCTACTCTCCTCATCGCTACTCTCTCACATCCTTAGTCTCTCCATCTCTAACCTCTCCACATCTCTGCTCTCTCCATCTCTGATCTTTCCATCTCCAAACTCTCCAATTTCTTGTTTTTATTGTTGTGATATATATTCTCTATTTGTGATTATTCTCGTTGCGATTATGTATTTGTGATTTCTTATTTTTGTGATTATGTTTTTGTGATTATGTATTTGTGATTACTTATTGTTGTGGTCATGTACCCGTGGTTATTTATTGTTGTGATTCATAATTTGTGATTATTTATTGTGGTGATTTTGTGTTTGTAATGATTTATGATTGTGATTATTTCTTGTTGTGATTCTTGATTTGTCATATTTAATGTGGTGATTTTGTTTTTGTAATGATTTATGGTTGTGATTATTTATTGTTGTGAGTCTTGGTTTGTGATTATTTATTGTCGTGAGCATGTATTTGTTGTGATTACGTATATGTTGTGATTATGTAGTTGTGATTATTTACTGTTATGTTTTTTTCTATGTGTTTTTATTTTTTGTGATTATTTATTGTTGTGAATTTTGTGATTATGTATATATCCTTGTGATTTTTTATTTGGTCTCCACATCTTGAAAATTCATAAAACGGAGTTTAGGCTTCTAAACTTCCTTTGATAATAAATGGGCTGATGCCCTGGTGCCGCCGACCCCTTTAAAAAATGCTTGACAAGCTGGCAGGTAGGGCTTTGTAGAACCAAAGTGGCAAACAAAAGTTGACTCTTCGAAGGCGTGACATAGCGTGGGCAAGTATTGCCTGTAGAACCAATGGTGGCATGCTAAAGGTGGCAAACGGCTGTTTCGACATTGTTAGGAAGTCGGGAAAGGGGCCGTGTAGAAGCAAAGGTAGCAGTTGGTAGTGTGGAACCTGTGAAAAGGGCCGACGCAGTGGGGCAGGTAGGGTCCGAGCCTGTAAAGAAGGCTGGGCAGGTGCGGCCGTCAGAGACTGGCAGGTGCCGGGCAGTTGCGAAAGAGGCGGGCAGGTGGTTTGCTGGAGAGCCAACGATGGCAATCCGGAGCGGCGAAAACGTGAAAAGAGGGGCTGCATGGATGGGGAGGGCGGGGCCTGGCAGTACCAAAGGAGCCAGAGAGGAGTTGTGAGATCTGAAAAGAAATTGCAAATGGGTCTGCTGTAGACATGGTCCCGAACGGCAGTTTCGAAACCTTATAGGAGAGGTTTTGGGGCTGAAGCTGCAACAGTTTTGCAGCCCTTGGCGCAAAGGGCTGAAGCTGCAGCGGAGGGTTTCAGGGCGGAGGGTTTCAGGGCGCAGGGTTTCAGGGCACGGCGAAACGTGCTGAACGGTGGCGAAGCTGCAACCGTTTCGCAACCCTTGGCACAAAGGGCTGACGCAACGTGCAGAACGGCAGTTTCGAAGTTGCAACAGTTTTGCAACCCTTGGCGCAAGGGGCTGAAGCTGCAGCGGGGGGTTTCAGGGCGCAGCGGAGGGTTCGAAACGCGCCATTTGGGGCTGAAGCTGCGACAGTTTCGCAACCCTTGTTGGAAGGGGCTGAAGCTGCAGCGGAAGGTTTCAGTGCAGGGCGAAACGTGCTTAACGGTTTCGAAACCCTATATAGACAGGAGGTTTACTTGCCGAAGCTTGTTTGTTGCCCCTGTTGCCCTTTGATGTTGTTGTGTAAGACTATTTAGTGCGCAGCCCCTCCCCGCTGCGCACGGTGGCGCCCTCCAGCAAACTAACTGGCGCCTCCCAAGTTAGGAGGCAGCTGGCTGCCTCCTTGACATTGAACGATTATCATGTATCAACCAATTCAAATTTAGGAGGCTTAGCTGGTGTAAGCTTCCTTGTCAGATGTAACTGGGGTTTCAGGAGACTTATTATTATTTAAGCCTCCTTGCCACTCTAAATTTTTAAAGCGAAGGAGACGACTAACCTGTCATTTTAAACTGCTGCAGGGACACATGCCATTCAAATCCAGGGCGCCAAGTAATCTGCATATGCACGGGCAAGTTGCGACATCGTCTTCAAGGCGACCTGTAAGTCATCTTGGAATTCTTCCAGGCCGCCGCATCTTTCTGCAGCCTTGATAAAAATGCCTAAGTCTCCCACGGCGGCCAAAGCCTCAGTCATGGATTGATCCCTCTGAGGCCTAGTCTGCCCAAGCTCATTGAACCGCACAAACATTGGTAAGTTTTCAAAGCCTGGTACTTCTCGATGTGGAAAACGCAGCACGGACATTGGGACTTCTTCCAAGTCTTCAGCCTGTGTGATGTGAGGAAGGCCAAAGCGCAAGTTGGTCAACACGTCGTGGCACAAGGAGAGTGCAGGCACAGCGCTGCCATCGCAGAGCTGTGCGGTGTAGTAGAGGCCATTGCGGAGGCGTTCCATCTCGTGCACCACATAGTCATCCCAATCAACGAACTCCCGCAAAGTGCGCCTTAAGGCCAGAAGGTCAGTCCACTTCATGGCTAGGCTCTTCAAACGAATGACACAAACATTACAGCCAAGGCTGCCGTGGGAGTGGGTACAGCCAAGTGAGGAGGAACCGTTAAATTATTTAAAGTTACTTAGTCGTGAGTCAGGCCGAGGCTGTGGCAAAACTTATTTCTGAACAGCTTTCACAGTGGCCACAGCAAAAAAACGCACACAACAGCTTTTATCCTCCTTTGCGCATCAGTCAGGAGAACAAACGACTTAAAGATCAAGATTGGCCAGCGCAGTGCTCTCACTGCAGGCTCCCCGCACTGTCACAGATTCAGTGACAATGATACTACCCGTCACAAGTTAATAGCGACGCCAAAAATATCTACCAGGCCATGCTCGACCCTGAACCGTCAGAGGCGGCGCCCTCGTCTTCGACACTTTTCTTCTTCGTCTTGTTCTTCGTCGTCTTGGGCTTCTTCTGCTCAGGCTCTTCGCCCTGGGCCTCCGCCTCCTCGTCACCGTCACCCGGCGCCGTCTCATTCTTCTTGGGGCGCTTCTTGGTCACCGGCTTTGCTTTGGCCTTTGACTTGGGCTTGGGCTCGTCATTCTGGCTCTTGACCGTCATCTCAGGGATGTAGTAGGTGGATCCATCCCGCTGCTGCTCTTCGTAGATGTATTCCGTCAACATGATCTCAAGCTTCTTGCAATGTCCATCCGTCCCGCAAATTGCAAGACAAGGAGTGCGAGAAGACATCGCTGCTTTCAGGAGCTCTCCTGCAAGATTTTCCGATGAAGTTAAAAAAACCAATGACTTAAGTAACACGGGTTGCGGTCCTTGTGCTGGAGATGTGTCGACAATGCCGATGCAGCTCAGGGAATGGACCATCTCCATGTAGTACTCGACCGGCAGCATGGAGCAACTGAACACGCTCTCAAGCTCTCCAGCTCCTGCCGCATCCTCTGCCGGCTGGCCGTCGCCTTGCTGGCTTGAGTTGGCCGGAATGAACACGTGCCGGCTGCCAAGGATGTCCAGCTTGTCCTTCCTGACAATGGGGCAGCGAAGATGTTTTGAAAAACGCTGACTATATTTGACACGACAAACAGCTAAAGCTAAGAACCACCAGCCTGGGAACTCGCCAAAGCTTCGAAGGGCCCAAGCAAGAAATGTACCCGATGACGTCGCCGTGGCTAAAGCCGGGATAGATCTTGCGCTCAACCTCGGGCATGGTCAAACTCAATGGCTTCTCACTGTAGAGGTTGCACAGCATCTGCTGGCTGTAGGCGCCCGCTCTGACGATCTGCTTCCTTTCACGAACCGATTTCTCATTGAACATCAGCCACACAGACTGCTTGGAAGCTTCCTTGAAGAGCTTGGGGCCAACGCTCAGCGGGTCTACCACAGCCACCACAACCCCTTCGGCAGGCACAGAGCAACGAACCTTCTCCACTGACTGTGCCCCCAAGGCGATGCAAGGGCAAGCAGCAAGCTTCTCGACAAGGTCAATGTCCTCAGTCAGCAGCCGCTCAATAATATGAAAATTTTGAAACCGCAGTGTGGACTCTTTGACTGAAAAAAATGTCAAAAAAAAAATGAGCCAAGCAGCTGGCTTCCAGCGCTTGCCTCGGAGCTCCGCTTGGCAGTGAGGGCCAGAAGATTCTCCAAGCAGCGCGGTGTCGAGGTGCACCAACAGGGTCTTCTTTCCAATTTCAGGCTGCAGGCCAGTCGCTGCTTGCCATTGGGAAACTTGGAGCTGCAACTGAGAATCATTCTTGCCTTCCGTGACGAAGGTCAAGTACATCCTGACTGACTTGTTGGCAACTGCTCTCCAATAGCTCGGGCTGCCTTGCTTCAGAGTGTTTGGGGCCTTCCTGGCTTCTGTCAGCCAAGCCTCCTCATCTTGAGAATCTTCACCGTCGCTGAGCTCCGCTTCCTTTGCCTGGTTCTGGGCAAGCTCGTTCTGGCGCATTGCGATGACCTGCTGCCAGCGCTCGTTGATGGAGTCCAATTCCAAGACGACCTCCGGATTGGTGCTGACTCCTTTGCAAATGCCCCTCAACAAGTTGTCGAACGTTTTGAGGAAGACCACATCCTGGAAGAAACGCAAAGCCTCTTGCCCGGACCTGGACATGCTAGCCTGCCACTGCACGCTGTCTTCACAGGCTTGCCGCATTGAAGGACAATCCCGGCATCTGGACTTGATTGCCTCCCGTTCAGTCTCTGAGATCTTGGCCTGCAGCATGAGGGTGTCACAGATGTAGTTGAGAAGCTTCATCTTCCACTCCCACAACACCACGAGACCAGCCGTGTGCTTGTCTCCCAGCAACGCCTTCTTGCTGATGTCTTCGTTCTCTGCCAGCCCATGCTCCAAATGGTCCAAGAGCATCTGAAAAATCCAGCGCCTGGCAGCTTTGCCACTGGGTTTAGTGGCAAGCTTCTCAAGCTTGACCAAGCTGTTCAGGCAGCTGTCAAGTCCATGCTTGCTCTCCAAGACTCGGATCACTTCCAAGACCTCGTCATCTGAGCCAAGCTGCCGCATGACATGTCCAGCAGCGGTGAAGTTCCACTCTGTGAAGATGCCGCCGTTGGAATTCGCAGAAGTCTTCGCAGTTGTGATGGGGTAGGTCTTGACCAGGGCAGCCACTTCAGAGTCTTGGAGCCGACGGTTTTCGACAGATTCGAGCATGGCCTGCAAACTTGACGATGCTAGAAAGCCGCGTAAAAAATCTGGAAAAACAAATCAATCACAACTGATTTTCGCAACACAGAGGCCTTCAAACTGACGAGCTCTGCGCTCATTTGGAAGGCTGTCCTCCCCATGGATTCATGCTCCTGCATGACCTGTTGCCTTCGGCTGATCGCCTTGTGCCAAATGTCCTTCTCAGCGCACAGCACCATGCAAGTGGGAATTCCCAACCTGAGGCTGGCATGGTGACAAAATGTAATGATGGTACAAAACACTAAAAAAATTACCGACCCCATTAATAATCAAAGTATGCCTCCCGAAAAAAAAAGTTGGCTGTTCTTTGAAAATTAAAACCAAGCCGCAAAGTCAGCCGCCACTGCTTCCTCTCTTCCTCGTTGCAGTCGGCTTCTCTCAAGCGCTTTGCGCAAGCAAAGACAATGGCGTGGGCCTGTTCCTCCGGGCTGATCAGCTTCAGACCGGCTGGCCTGTCAGAGAGCTCCTCCTTGACCACGGCAACTTCGAGGACCGAGCGAAAGAAAGAGTGCCCCGAGCCGAAGTAATGGGAGCCCAAGTCCTCCACCCTCTTTCTGCAAAGCGGCACCGATGGATTGGATGTGCGATACAGATCAACCCACATCAGATTGCAGGCTGAGATGTACAAACCTTGGCCATCAAGGGCCTTGCCAGCATCCTCCAGGTGGAAAGGCTCCTGGCTGAGGGGCAATGCAATGGGTTATTTATTATATGTTACTTTGATTGATTACAGAGTCCATGCCTGGTTTAAAATGAGCCAGGAAAATATGAAATTAAACGATGTTAGGGGGTCGTCATGTCAGTCATCTTGTCATTTGAAGCTGCAGCATGCTCCTGCACTCCGCCCTTGTCATCGTTTGCTTGGACGATCGGGACGGGAAGCTCCGACTTGAGGTCGCCAAGCTTGTCTGCGATCACCTGCAAATCGTTCTTCAAGCCCTGCAAGTAGGCTTCATTCACCCCAGAATCCTTCAGGCCTGGCCCAACAACACAGCTGCTGCCGGCTGGGTCTGCTGGATTCTTGGGAGCAGAGTTAGCCTTGGCGCTTTGCTTCTGCAAGCTCTTCAAGTGCTTGGCTTCCTGGAAAACCCTCTCCAAGCGCTTCTTCTCCTCTGTGTGCTTTCTGTCATACTCGTCTCGAGCCTCTTCCCGGAGCTGAGCATTTTCAGCTTCCCACTCGGCCAAGTCCTTCTTAACTTGGTTCTGCTCCGCCTTGTTCAACCTCCATGCTGAAGGGCCGCCCATGACCTAGGTCAGAGTCTAAGAACAAAGCCGTCGCTGTTTGAGTGAAAATGCTGCGGTATAGGTGAAAAATAATACATTCCGGCTGCCTCAGCCACAAGTGCAAACATCACAGGAAAATCGCGCCAAAGCAGGAGTGAAACAAAAGAACGCTGGCTGCTTTTCTTTTTTATACCGCTCACTTGGCCGCTTCTCCTTGGAAGGTGTGGTCAACATCTTTAAATGCAGTTGGGGATGCCCAAAAATCTGTCCTAGTAACTTGAGATGGCCACAAGCCGCTCGCAGCCAGTGCCCGACTGAGGACCCGTTGAAGCACATTCAAGCTCATTCCATCTCCAAATGCTGCTGCCACTTCGTTTTCGCATCTGGCCTGGGTGAACCTCTTGTCGTTTGCGTGCTCGGCCAAAAGTTTTCGAACCATGTTTCGGCAAATGCTGACTGGAATGCCTTGCAGCTGGGAAAATTCTTCCACTGACAGCCGCCGAGCCAAGCGGGGCACATAGTAGCCACGAGCTTTGCACCGGCTACGGGTGAGGCAAGGGCTCACCCGATGCTTGGGAATGCTGGTGAACCGAGCGGACGAGGCGACGTCCAGGATCCAGTAGCCAGTTCGAAGCTTCTCGGTTGCAGTGCTTGGGCCAAACTTGCTCAAATCCAGTACTTCATCTCCCACTTTGCCGACGTCCAAGATGGATTCAATCGGAGGACACTTCCCCAAGGCCTTGGGAAACCGGAATTCGGCAATGGGATTTCGCAAGGCCACGACCCAAAGACGGGGTCTGCTTTGGGGCAAGCCGTGGTCGCAAGTCTGCAAGACTTTTGCACGGACCGTGTACCCGCAAGCAGCAAATGTTTTGCGAAGCATCTTCTGGGCCAGCCAATGCTTCTTTTCCAAGAAGCCAGTCACTTGCTCCAGCAAAACTACGGGCGGCTTGTGGTAGGCTATGTACCGCAGTCCAGCCACCAATGGAATGCCTCTTTTTTTCGAATCCCGCAAGCCGAATCTGCGTCCCATTTTCGAAAATGCAGGGCAAGGAAACCCTGCCAGGTAGATGTCGGCACCTGGGGAATCTTTGGGGTCTCTTTGGAAGATGTCTGTGGCAAAAGACTCTGACTTACAGCTGGTCCGGCAGGTTTCGTGAACCACACCAATGAGACATCGCTTCACTTCGTCAATTTCACTTCCACCAACGATGGTGAAAAACTGCTTGAGTCCTAGTAGTGTCAAAGCGATAGTCTCAGCGCTGATTCCAGCGCAGTCAGAAAAAACTCGGAGCTTGGAACCTTTTGGCCTTGGTTGGAATGGCCGAGCTTTGTGCTCCTTCACGTAAGCCTTGAGCTTCCCCACGAGCTTCTCCAGCTTACTCTCTGCGACTTCCGTTGTCCGCGGCATGCTCTAAGTGAGTGAGGCCCTACGCTTGCACTGCAACACATGTGAGACTTCTAGCACTGCAACACAGAATTGTTGAATCTCAGTGTGAGTAATGTCAGGTGTCAAGACATATCGTAAATTACTACATTCCTCTGTGAGCATAGACATTGCGCAGGCGGCTAAGTTGCTTGCCGGGTTACCCACCCCTGCCTCGCAAGAAAAAGTGTGAAATTCTTCGCGAGGTGACCCTAGGGCATTAACAGGGCTTGCTCGCAGAGCCAGACCGGCCCGGCTTCGCGAGGGAACCCTGTTAAAAATCCACGCAACCCTGTGCGAGCCATTTCCCAGGGTAGCACCGATTTTTAACTCCCCTCCCTCGCAAGGCCAGACCGGCCCGGCTTCGCGAGGTGACCCTAGGGATTTAACAGGGTCACCTCGCAAAGCCAGACCGGTCCGGGTTCGCGAGGCTCCTCGCAGAGCCAGACCGGTCCGGCTTCGCGAGGTGACCCTGGGGGCACCTTGCCGCGAAGTGTGAGGAGGCCATGTCGGCCTGCCTTAGCTTTGACAATTTTGTTAAGTTAGGAGACCATGTCGGCCTGCCTTACCTTTAGTGGAAAGCACTTTGTCTCAAGCTGTCCTACTCAACTAGGAGGAGACCGCTTGGCCTGCCTTGATGATGGCTTATGTCTTAAAGTCTATACTTTGAAAAGACAATGCCCTGGGCTTTCGCTTTACTTTTATGTTCACCGTTCACGCTGCCGACACTCCGAAAGAACGACCATAGTCGATGCATGCTGCAGTTAATAACTGTACAAACTCGTCTTTGCTGTGCCAATGACCGCCTGCTCGTTTCAGCTGGGCCAGATTAGCATCGGTCTTGTCTTTGACAAGGCAAATCGTATTTTTCCGCACATTTTCAAGGGCTACTCCAGACCACATTTTCTTCTCAAAAACCGCCCACCTCAGGAGATGAGTCATGGCTGGCTCTTGTTGCTTGAAGTCTGGCGTGCAGTGGAGCGTGGGCCACTTCCGTTTCAAAGACTCCAACTTCTGCAAGCAGTATTGAGATTTGATGCCGGCGCGCTTCAGTAGCAAGGAGTATGACAAAATGCAGCCCCCAGTTGCCACGGCCATGAAATAAGCCTTCGAGGGAATAGCTGAATCGTCCACAACAAAGACAGAGGCAGCTCGGATGTCCTAGGCATTTGAAATGGCCGAGAGGCAAAAAAAACAAACCCGAACCACCCATGCCTGGAAAGTAAAAAGCTCCGGTCCTGCTCCTGCAGCAATGGGGCGCACGCCGTGGGAGGCAATCCAGTGGCGAACCATGCCTTGGCTGGCCCTAGTGATTGCCATCTCCATGTGCGCGCATTCGTTGTGGAAAGGAGCTGGGATTCTTGCTTCTTCCGTTTCAAATGCATGGCCTGATCTGCTTTGGCGTCCTCCCTGGCTCTCTTGGCAGCTGCCTGCTCCAAGCTCAAGCCTTCCGCGGCACCCAAGCCGAGGAAATAGCCATCACGACGCGCCTCCACCTTCTTCTTCAGAAGCGTTTCTCGCGAGTTGGCAATTTCCTGGCAGAGGGTAGCAAAGAAACGACGACTTTACAGAAAGTTTTTAAGACCAGCCAGCCCTGTCCTTCTGAGCTTTCTGTGACAAATTGGCTATCGCAACTTCGTGGTCCACAGGTTTTTGCCCTGAAGTGCTTGCAGCGGCTGCCCTGACAGAAGCCCGCCTACGCTTGATCCAAGTCTTCTCCACGACTTTGCCGGCAAGTTTTGCTCGAGGACCTGTCTTGACCCCCTTGTCTAGGCGCTTCCTTTGGTATTTGCCAAGGTGTCTGGATACTCTTGCTGCATATAGAGCACGGGCCTTGTCCACGACAGAAGCCAAAGACGCTGCAGGGGAGTCATTGTACGTCAAGCACACCATCGCTCGACGCTCTGAATCGGCTGCCTTTGGCCCGAAATGCTTAGCTCCATGGCTCCTCTCAGCTTTGGAAAAAGCTTGCTCCACGCCAGAGCTAGAGGTGGTCCAGCAGGCATGCGCTTGAAGCAAAGGGGCCAAATTCTTGGTTTCATATTTTTCCCTCAAAGCAGAAGATGCTTGGCTTCTTCGGAATGCTTGTTTCCACGCATCCCTGCTAGTGCAATCTTGCTGTTCTCGGAATGCCATGGCCACTGGCCGCAGAGCGTCAAACTCGGAGACCAGCCCTTGCTCATCAACTTGCAAGGCGACGGCTAGTCGCTGAAGGCAAGCATATCTGTCATCTGTTAGCCGGCCACCAGATCGCAGATCCAAGACGCTCATCGATGAGAAGAGATGGAAATGCGGAAACTCAGCCTCGCAAGCCTCATGACACAAATGAACCCACGGTTTGAAGGCTTCCAGGACAGCACGGCGATCGCCCGCAGACACCCTCAGCCTCTTCTGCTGACCCCTGTGCTTGACATAGAGTCCAGGCTCTGCTTGCAACAGGTCTAGACAATGCTTGCTGTATCCATTCACGTCGAAGACTTGCCCTGGCTGTCCAAATTGGATGTCTACATTGCGCAGAAAACTGTGGACCTCTGAATTCAGAATGGCCGGGTCTTGCGATTCATTGTCCATCAGCCGCAAAAATTCCATCACTGTATCAGCTGCATCAGCGGCTGCCGCAACAAGAAGCAATTTCTTGGCAGAGACGTTGTCCATCCACTTGTGCAGCCAGTCACAGTCTTCCTTCAAAGCCAAAATTTTGTGTAATACATCAAATATCGGTCTCATATTCAAACAAAATCTCCCAAGAGGTTTGGCAAAGGACGCGAAGCGGTGCTTTGCCGCCGATAAGCTGCTGGTCTGGGGGCCGGCACCTTTGGCAATGGCTTCTTGCAGCCAAAATGAATAGTTCGGGGAGTGGAAAATCTTTTGCGCCAAGGATTCTTTGTTGGTGACTGTGCTGCTAACAGCGTCTTTCACGTCATCCATGACATGCCAAGGCCGTTTCAGCAGTCTCATGCAGGCATGCCTTGCATCGCGGCCCAGCAAAACGATGCTTGGGAAAAAAACATCTCTCTGCAGTTCGGCTTGATCTGACCGGCGCCGAGATCTGAGTATATCCGACGCAAGTAATTCAGCTGACGCAGCATCGGTTACCATGATGTGAACATGTCTCCGAACGTGGCTGAGCAATGCCTCATCCACTGACCCACCAAAGCCAGGTGTGCAAAATAGTTTCAAGGCTTTCACTGTGGCTCTTGCGATGTGTTCCGAAGTCTTACCTTCAACCAGGCGAGGCTGCCCAATGCAGCCGCTGCAGACTCGCAAGTTCGCATCCACTGCCCTAAATCGCAGCAGCAAGCGGCCTTGTCTTTCCTGGGCTCGGAACGTCAAACTCTGAAAGTTCAAAGGATGTCTGGCCCCGATAATAATAAATCGACAAAGTAGAGTTAAATGAGAAACATTTGCTTGAAAATGCAAGATTCATCCCGCATCAGAGTGATGCTTTGGGCACTGGCCAGGAAGACGCGGTAAGCGTGCAAGATAGCTTCGGAAAGGCAATAGTGCATCAACTTGGTTCGGGTCGATGGTGTTCCGTCCCCTTTGTCGCGCTGAGAATGTCCTCTGCTCAGCTTGCGCACGAGGTCTTGCCATTCTTCAGCAGCAGGGGCATGAGAAGTTGGATCAGCTGCATGAGCGGCAATGTGGTACTTGGATTGGGCATGGTGCCGAAACCTCCAGCTCTTCCAAGTGACTTCGGGCCGAACTGAGAAAGTGGCATAAGGGGAAAGCTGCGAAGTATCACTCCCGGCTGCAGTAAATTTGGCAGCATGCAGCGCGCAAATTTTGCACCCCACTGTCAAAATGTTGCTATTGCCCGCAAAACCTGCCCGCAGCCAAGGAAATTTTCTCCTCCAAAATGAACCCTTGAGCAGCCAAGCGTTGTCTGAAGTCTGGCAACGCTGCCCATGTTCCGCCAATTTCTTTGAAGACGGCGACACTAGCGTCACATCAGGCACGATTTTGGCAGGCAGAGCCATGACCCCTGGATGCCTCAATGTCAAGCCAGTCTGCAGCACACATCAGAAAAAATCTTCCAAGCAAGCGTGGCTGTTCTGAATGACGTGGAAGTTTCTACCCGCGTTGCTATACTACCCCCAACGCATCGCGGCTGTGGGCTCCCCTTTTTTTTCTCCCAAGACGGCTATCAAAGCAACTTTGGCCACTTCCGGGTGAAAACTCGGGGTGACTGCATCAGGCCATGACAAATGAATTAAATCTTAATTTAATTAATTGTGCCCAATTCAACTACCGCACCAACTTCCCTCAGTCAGCGTCGACTCGTCATCGTCATCTTCTACCATGACGCCCCGCCGGATCAGCTCTTTTTCGATTTTTCTGGCCAGAGTTCGTGCCTGGTTCTTGAAAGGCGAGCAATTTTTGAGGTAGCCCCATTTCGCTTGGAGGCCCTTTGTAGACATGTTTTTGAGCATGTTCTTCTGTTTCGTCAGGGCTTCAGGATTCAGAGGAAAGCAGCTGTCACTCTTCAAGGGCAAGATTGTCGCTTCGTTCTTCACGGTCTCTTTGATCACTGTTGAAGACGGCATGGCTGCAAGATACTGTCTAAACACTACAAAGTCAAAGTTTCAAACTTCCCTGGCCAACCTGTTTTTTTGGGCAAGCAAAGCAACAATTGAATTGCAAGTGTGCAAATTTAGAAGCAAACCCGTTCGAATTCCTGATTCTAAACTCAGAGGCTTTCACCGGCTGTCCAAACACCGTCCTTGACCAGCGAAGTGTGAGTTGAACTCAGTCTCCTTTGAACTAGGAGACTGGCTGCGACTTGATTTATTAGCCAGTCTTGACAGCCGCCTCCTTTGTCCAGGAGATTGCGGAGGTCATATCTCCTTTGACACTGGCTGCGAAAAGCTTTGCTTTGACAGCCGCCTCCTTCGTCTAGGAGACCCTGACTTGAAGCCCGATCGTCTGCAAACATTGATGACGACTAAGCCTCCTTCAGTCATTGACCATTGACCATTGTGTCAGGAGACCGCCCTGATATATTATCCAACCCAGTGTCATTACCAGACCACGAAACCACTTGGCCGCTTTGCGCCCCTTTTTTAACCACCCGCTGCTGTCAGTCTCTGTCACGTAGACACCCAGGACCAGGTCCAGCGCCCTCTTTCGTGGTGACCTCCTCCACCACCGCGGGACCAGTCTTGCCACCCATCCCAAAGAGGTTTTTTGGGTGGGACGTAGTGCCAGTTGTCGTCGTCATCTTCATCTTCGTCGTCTTCCCAATCCCACTGGCCCCGCTTGTTGTACCAAAGTGTTCTCTGCCGGCCCTTGTTGCTCTTCTTGCGCTTCTTTGACGACGGTTTCCAGTAGATGTCCTGAGGGCGCATGGCGCGACCAGAAACAAAATCCATTGGAAGAAAAGGAAAAAACCAGACCTATTTACGGGGGCCGCCCAAACATAAAAACTGCTAAATTAAATCCCAGGCTCGCAGTTCTTGTTGAAGCATTGGCCTCGGCCAGCGTACGTTTGCTTTTGGCACAGCTTGCAGATTCTTAGGTCCACCGTGTGGTTCATAGTCTCTGCAGGCGGCGGCGGAGCTGAAGTCAAGTCGACCACAGGGGGAGTCTCAGGAGTCTCCGCCGTATGGGAAGGGGCGGGGACAGCAGGACGGTCTGGAATGACAGCTTTTGCCACAGGCGGCGCCATACTTCTCCACGGCGGCGGCCCAGAACTGCCAGGTGGGTCCATGTGCCCAGGAGGCGGTGGCGTCATGGGCGTGCCGCTTGGCAGTAGTGGCGGGGCTTTGGCTGCCAAACCCGCCTCGCCCATTGGTCCACCTGGTGGTCCGGCTGCCATGCCCGCCCCGGCTGTTGGCGCCATAGGCGTTGTCGCCTTAGGCGTTGTCGCCGGGCCAGACCCCCCAGTGCCAGGGGCACTGCCTGTAGGAGGCGGAGGCCGCGCCAGGTAACCCCACAGGCTTGCAGCCAAGGCCTGGAGCGGGTCTGCAGGAGGACCAGGGGGAGGCCCTCCTTCAGACTCGCCTGGCGCTGCCAAGGCTATCACCATCAGCGCCGCCAGCCACAGTGCAGAGCTGCGCATGGCTACTTCCAGTCAGGTGAGGGACAGGGGCAAATCACTTGAGATCCAACAGCTGCAATGAAAACAAAATTTTCGAAGCAACTGCCAACGATTCTCTAGACGACGATTTGCTTAGCTTTCAGGAGACGCGCGCCGCCTTAACTTTAGGAGACGCGCGCCTTCCTTCCCATCTCAAACTCCCTGGTCAATGGACAGGAGGCGCGCGCCTCCTTGTCTTGAGGAGACACGCGCCTTCCTTCCCATCTCGACTACTAACTTAGGGCAATGGGCAGGAGGCGCGCGCCTCCGTGTCACTTGACATTCATGTCATCAGACCAAGGACCAGGAGACGCACGCCGCCTTAACTTAGATTGGTCAGGAGTCGCGCCTCCTTATTTAGGAGACACGCCTCCTTCACTGACCATCTGCCACCTTGTCGTGGACATGGGTCATGGATCATTGACAACCAGGAGACTGGCCATGGCGCCTCCTTGGCCAGATCCACGAGGTTCAATGGCATTTGAAAATTTTCAGGAGGCTTCAGGGCGCCTCCTTACAATGTCCTTTTAAACAAATATTATTTCAAGTAATCAGGAGAGAGCGGGCTGACAAACTCTGGAAGTCAGGTTTCACACGTTTGCTTTTCTTACTTACCTAACTGTAAAAGCACAACATCAAAGGGCAACAGGGGCAACAAACAAGCATCAGCAAGTTTAGGGCTGACTCTGCAACACTTTCGCAACCCTTGGCGCAAAGGGCTGAAGCCGCAGCAGAGGGGTTCAGGACGTGCGGATGGTTTCGGGGCGAAGGTGCCGAACGGCAATTTCGAAACCCTGTAGAAAGAAAGTTTCGGAGCAGAAGCTGCAACAGTTTCGCAGCCCTTGGCGCAAGGGGTTGAAGCGGAGGGTTTCAGGGCGGGGCGAAACGTGTGAACGGCAGTTTCGAAACCCTATATAGAAACATGTTTTGCAAAGGGCTGCAGCTGCAACAGTTTGGCAACCCTTGGCGCAAAGGGCTGTGAAGCTGCAGCGTTCAGGCCAGGGCGAAACGTGCCGGACAGCAGTTTCGAAACACTATAGAAAGGAGGTTTGTGGGCGGAATTTGCAACAGTTTCGCAACCCTTGGCGCAAAAGGAAGTTGGAGCAGAGGGGTTCAGGGCGGGGCAAAACGTGCCGAATGGCAGGTTCTAAACCCTATAGAAAGATATGGAGAGGAGGTTTTGGGGAAAGTTGCAACATGTTGCAACAGTTCGGCAACCCTTGGCGCAAGGCGTTGAAGCTGCAGCGGGTTTCAGTTTCAGGGCGGGGCGAAACATGCATTTCAGGGCGCAGCGGGCGGTTTCAGGGCGGGGCGAAATGTGCCGAACGGCAGCTTCGAAACCCTATAGAAGGGAGGTTTTGGGGCTGAAGCTGGAACAGTTTCGCAACCCTTGGCGCAAAGGGCGGAAGCTGCAGCGGAAGATTTCAGGGCGTAGCGGAGGGTTCCAGGGCAGGGAGAAACGTGCCGAACGGCCCTATAGAAAGGAGGTGTTGAGTTTTGGGGCTGAAGCTGCCTTGGCACAAGGGGCTGAAACTGCAGCGATGCCAGGGGCCACCTGGAGCAAGCTGGCACAGGTGGCAAAGCTGGCACAGCTGGTGCCAAAACCAATGTCGCACATCTACGGTGATCCCAGGCGCCGCCCCACCTAGGCCAAGGCTAGGGAGCGGTCGGCGGATACATATGTACATATGGACATTTCAATCCACATCTTGACATATTTTATCTACTACGCATATTTATGTATACATCTCCACAGCATCTTCAATCAATGGTCCGGTGATTTCCTCAGGTGGTTGAAATGCGTCCAGCTGGAAGCAAGGTTGGATGATGACTGTGCTCGGTCCAGTGTAAGTGAGACACCGTGAGTGTCATGAGAGCATGAGAAGTATGCGCATGTTGCGCCATGTTGCGCCATGTTGAATCATTTCAGGCAGACTGGTCACCTGTTGATGTGGGGCCTGCGGAGCCTGGCTACTTTTCGCAAAGTTGCTCATCCTGCAAGGTTCCAGCCTCAGATCTCAGCGGATCGCTGCCTCGGCAAGCCTTTGACTTGTCCAACTTGTCCGACTTGTCCGACTTGTATTCTCTGTTCTCTTATCATGCCAACTCTGCAACCGAAACGGGTCTTCACTGATTTTTGCGGGCTTACAGTTTGCCATTTGGTTTGCAAAATGTCAAGCTCTCCAGCATGGTGTAGAAAATTGCCACAGCAACATCAGCAATGAACCATTCTCCTGAAAATTGCTCGATGCTTCGAGCGTGCAGGTTTCTGGACTTCGATCTGGTTTTGCTTATGAAGTTTAAAACTCAGCCTCTCAGCTTTCAACCGCATTTTTTTTTCAAATCTAGCCTTTCAGCAAAATTTTTGACAGGCTCGGGTGACCTACATTTCCTCATGTTCCTGTCGCTCAGAGGCAGCATGTTCAAACCGCTTCTACGCCAATCCATCAGCTGACGTGTGTTTCAGACGTCATTTGCTCACGTGGTGCATCTACAACAAGTGCAAACAACTACCGATAGATCAATAGATTATATAATATGTATGTATGTAATGTAATGTAATGTAATGCAATGCAATGCAATGTAATGTAATGTAATGTAATGTAATGTAGTGTAATGTAGTGTATGTATGAATGTATGTATCAATGCATTAATGTATAAATGTAATGTAATGTAATTGAAAGTTTGGTATGTTATGTTTTTGTATGTATGTATGTATGTATGCATGTATGTATGCATGCATGCATGCATGTATGTATGTATGTATGTATGTAATGTATGTAACGTATGTAACGTATGTAACGTATGTAACGTATGTAACGGATGTAACGTATGTAACGTATGTAACGTATGTAACGTATGTAACGTATGTAACGTATGTAACGTATGTAACGTATGTAACGTATGTAACGTATGTAACGTATGTAACGTATGTAACGTATGTAACGTGTGTAACGTATGTAACGTGTGTAACGTGTGTAACGTGTGTAACGTGTGTAACGTATGTAACGTATGTAACGTATGTAACGTATGTAACGTATGTAACGTATGTAACGTATGTAACGTATGTAACGTATATAACGTATGTAACGTATGTAACGTATGCATGTGTGCATGTGTGTATGTGTGTATGTCTGTCTGTCTGTCTGTCTGTCTGTCCGTCCGTCCGTCCGTCCGTCCGTCCGTCCGTCCGTCGGTCGGTCGGTCTGTCTGTCTGTCTGTCTGTCTGTCTCTGTCTGTCTCTGTCTGTCTCTGTCTGTCTCTGTCTGTCTCTGTCTGTCTCTGTCTGTCTCTGTCTGTCTCTGTCTGTCTCTGTCTGTCTCTGTCTGTCTCTGTCTGTCTGTCTGTCTGTCTGTGTGTATGTATGTAATGTAATGTAATGTAATGTAATGTAATGTAATGTAATGTAATGTAATGTAATGTAATGTAATGTAAGTATGTATGTATGTATGTATACATACGGTAGATATCGTAGGAGTGACTCGGATGCGACATCGCGAAAAGGAGTGCAGCGTACAATCCAGAGATTGCATGGGTGCCATGAAGTTCCCCAACAACCTCTTCTGCCAAAAAGGCTTCCAGAACCCGCCCAATGATGTCACAGGCTTCTGATGCATCAGCACCTTGTGCTCCATGTGGCAAGAAACCAAGAAACGTGAGACAGAGCATGGGAAATGTATACGTGGAAGGAAGTTCTTTGCTTGACTATAGGCATTTTCATGTATTTTCCTGAGGTGAATACCGCGTGCCAAGAGACCCATCGTTTCCACAAGTGCCAGTGGCACCTGTGGCACCTGTGGCGCCAGTGGCACCAGTGGCGCCAGTCGCCCTCTCAGCTTCTGGAGCTGACGCAGACTCCTTGCTGAGCTGTCCAATTGTCAGGCTGGTCGAGCCAAAATGGGCCAAAACCAAAACCAAAGTCTTACCGCCAAATTTCGACACGTATACGACAACGTCGATGAGAAGTCTGTGAGTCTGTGACACATATATTTTGAATCATTTTCGGAAAGGGTTCTGCTGCACATGTTCATTGAGCCCCACTTTTTGTCAGCGCCCTTCAAAGGCTTTACTGTCTTGTGCGCATATTGCAGTACTTGATACCATACATTTTGATGCAACACTTTCGATGCTGTACTTGTACCTTTGATTCATGTTTTGCTTGATCTCACATGTGTGTGTGTGCGCGCGCATATTTTGCACGTGTTTTCTCATAGCTATGCAAGTAGTTGGGTCATGCCAGGTTATCCTGGACTCTCAACTCCTACTTGGCGTTGTGGTGCCGTGGCAGATTTGTGTAGAGTCCAAACATGTCAGTAGTGACTTGTCAAATCTTGATAATCACTTAGCAATGACTTGTCGTGATTTGTTTGTTTTCATCACAGAGTGCGTTTCTTTCCTGTGCCAGTCCATGGAGCGGTGGTGCCTCCGCCATCAGTGCCTGAAGTGCTGGCTGGAGATGAGGCACGGACACATACACACACAAACACGGAAAAGATTTTGAGCCTTTGCATTCTGTGAAACTTTCCAAGTTTAGCCTTATTTCATGTGTGTCGCTCGTGTATATACTTTCAACAGTGTTTTTTGCATGGTACTGCTGTTAGTGGTAGTCGACGGTCTTCTCCTTTTCGGCATGCAACCTCCTCGCCACCTTTTACAACCTCCTGCCCCTTGCTTTCTGTGTTGTCAGGGATCTTTGCAATCCCATAGTATGTTAATCCTTCTTTTTGGAAGAAAAGCAACTTTGCGGCTACTGGTATCTTTCAAAAAGGATCAAAAAGGCGGGATCCCCATGTCGGAAAATCACAATTCTTATTTCTTAAGTTGGGAACTCAGTTCTGTATTCAAGTCAACATAATGTCATCAAACGAAGCAAATCGGGCACTTGCATCAAGGTGGCAAATGGCGAAACAGATAGTGGGGATGTAGATGGATGTAGAGGAGCGTGGAAGGTTCAAATGCCGTGCAAAGCCATTATAATCCCTTTGCCATCGCAATAATTTTGGCAATACAGTCCCCCTTCAATAGATCGTCATCACCACGAACGATTGATGAGAGGGTGTCCGCAGCGTGTCCGTTGGAGTAGCCCATTTGTCACAACTTGGGTTTGTCTTTCATCCAACTAACGATTTGGGTGTGGTCGGGAAAATATATTACATTTATTTACAGCTGTGGTCCCCACATTCTTTGTTCAAGATTCCTTCGTTTCCCACCACACGCGGGAGTACGATTGTGAAGGTGGCCCTGATGCAAAAATATTTGTGAAACTACAACTTCCACATGCGGATGTCATGCAACAAAGGGTAAAAAGGAAAGGCATGATGTGGAAGCACAGGATCATTGATGGGAATTCCCTGCATTTCTAACCGAGGCTGGTTTCTCTGTAGCAGTCCGCTGGCCTTCAGTTGGGCATGCTGCTGCTTACGTGATTGAGTTCAAAGAGGTGCCTTCTGCAGTTCTGATGCCCTGATGGCCGGCCTCCTGATCCAATTCCGTCTTGGGCTCGGCTTCCGGGTCTGACTGCATGGCGGCTGCCGGCAGGCTGGTTCAACCCAAACAGAGCGCTTTGTACGAGCTGCAGCTCCCACTACTCCTGGTACCCTTGTTGAATTGAGAGTCCGGACACCAAGCAAAAAAAAGCGAGGCTGATTTTCATCGTGCGGGAGCTCCGGGGGCAAGCTGTGGCTACTCCCATGTGTCCAAGGATATCCCAAAATTGATCAAACACTGTATTCCCATCACCAAGTAGGTTGCTACTAGCCTGTGCTGGCGCTGCGGTTGATGGGGGTTAGAATGAGGGTAGAATGGGGGTAGGGTTAATGTTTTTGTCTGATGTTCACTGCATTAAATTGCTGTGCTGACTCGGTGGTGGGGATAGCAGTGTTTCATCATTCCTCCAAATATCCACGTGGTGATGCTCAAGTAACATGATGGAAATATACGATATCATATAGTATATGATAGTATCATGTGATAGTTTAAAACAGCTCCATCCATGATTTAGCAAATGAGCAAGTAGACAGCGGACACAACTTCGTCAATTTTTGCCTTGAAAACAGAATGGCACCAATGAATACATGGTTTGCAAAGCCGAAACCAAAATTGCCACATATCGTAATACCACCACAGCAGCTTTCAACCTTGAACAGATAGACACAACACATTTTTCTCAAATTGACTATTACTATTAAGCGTACACCACAGCATCATGAACTCAGATCATGCACTACTAACTGAATCAATAAAAGTAACTAGCGACCAAAAAAAACCATAAAATATCCACCCGCATAAAACATCATCAAATAGGGAGAGCCGACAGTAGCACAACTCGAAGCCTACAATGATTCCTTTAGGCAAACAATTTCAAGGCGGAAACTTGACGGATCCTGGCAAGCGCAGGACAAAGAAGCAGTTACACTCGCTGCTAGCCAACATCTCACAAGAGTTCCGATTACACAGGAGAAAGACTATCTCTCCAACCGTGCCTGGCATTTTTTTCTCGAAAAAGAAAAGGCTATTAAAGGTGGCAATTACCGGAGGAAGTTTAGAAGTCAAACTTCCGACAATATGGACAGATGAAAAGCAGAGATGGGAAGAGTCAGAGAGAAGAGAAGAGAAAGAGTCAAAAGAAAGAAGATGAAGGCGCGCGAAAAGGTAGGAAAGTCGCGAAACACTGTGTTTTCCAATGATTTGTGGCTCCGGAGGATCGAAAAGTAGGGCTCACTAAAGCGGCGGGTGCGGAGCCATGTGGTCAGATGAGAGATGAAAAATTGCACGCCGTTGTGGCGCAAAGCACATTTCCAAGTCAAAATGTACAAAACACCACATGTTCGGACCACTTTTGGAAGCTGCGATGTGGGAAAAGTGCACGCCGTTGTGGCCCGAAGCACATTTAGCACATTTCGAAGTCAAAATGTACAAAGCACCACATGTTCGGACAACTTTTGGAAGTTGAGATGTTGAAAAAGTGCGCGCCGTTTTGGCGCGAAGCACATTTCGAAGTCAAAATGTTAAAAACACTAGGGGTTCGGACAATTTTTGGACGTTCAGATGTCGTTTCGCATGGCAGGCGCAAGGAATTGTGCACCTTCTCAAAAGTGAGCAAAACGTGGGGGTTTTGTGGCATTTCCAAAAACGATGGCAGGCGTGGGACATTTGAAGAGGGTCTGCAAAGATGCATTTTCCGTGGCAGGCGCAGTACAAGAGACATCTTCATCAGAGCTGTTGGGAGGTCCGGGCGCTGATTTCCTGAGAGGGGTTGCATTTTGGAGCCTCAGATCTTCAAGTTTGCTGAGATGATTTTGCGTGACAGGTGCAGCACTTTGTATGACCTGGCATCACTTGTTCATGGCAGGCGCAGTACTTTAGACAGGTGGACTGGAAAAATCGCAAAACGCATTGGTACGAGGCCGTCAGCTCTGCACGCAACTTTCCATGTTTGAAGGAAGTCTCGCAGAATTGCTTTGTTTTTTTATGTTGTCAAGCTTGAAGAAGTCTCGCAGAATTGTTTCGTTTTTGACGTTGTTAAGTTCAAAAACTGAGGAAGTCTCGCAGAGTTGCTTTGTCTTTGATGTGGTCAACTTTGAAAAATGAAGCCAGTTCTCTGGGGAAGTGTGCTGATTTTATAGTCTAAGAGTCTAAAGGTGTTTTTTTTGAACACATGCTGAGCACTGCTGTTTTCATCTCTTGTGCCATTTTTATTCTTAATTTTCAACATACCCCAGAGACACTGGGTTTAATCTCTTGCGCCTTGATTTTTCATTTTCAGAAATAGGGGTGAGGTCGGCTTTTCATCGTTTCACTTTTTTTTTGGCTCATACCTTTGCCCTCTAGGTGTTGAAACTAGGTGTTTGGGATGAAAACCTGGTGCTGCACCCTAAGTTGAACGCCCAACAGGGATTAGATAGATAGATAGAAAGATAGATAGATAGATAGATAGTTAGTTTAGATTAGATAGATAGATAGATAGATAAATAAGTTAGTTAGTTTGTTAATTAGTTAGTTTGTTTGTTTGTTTAGTTAGTTAGTTAGTTAGTTAGTTAGTTAGTTAGTTGGTTGGTTGGTTGGTTGGTTAGTTGGTTAGTTGGTTAGTTGGTTAGTTGGTTAGTTAGTTAGTTAGTTAGTTAGTTAGTTAGTTAGTTAATTAGTTAGTTAGTTAGTTAGATAGATAGACAGATAGGTAGCTGGACAGATGGATAGATAGATTGATAGATAGATACATTGATAGATAGATAGAAAGAAAGATAGATAGATAGATAGGTAGATGGACAGATGGATGGATGGATGGATGGATAGATAGATAGATAGATAGATCAGAGAAAGAGACAGAAAGAGAGAGAAAGAGAGGAGACATCAATCACCTTTCAATCCATCAGTGGCTTCGCTCTGCCATCCGTGATTCACAACAACCAACCTCTCGTATAGGTTTCCTATTTTTGAAACTTCCGCTACCGCCTTGCGCGGTACTACTGGTATTTGCTACCACAACTCAACAAAGACAAACGATACGCACGACAGGAAAAAGAGACTGCAACAATAAAACAAGTGGAAGAAGAAGCAGATGCGCAAGGCTACAAATGGGAAGGATGAAAGGCAGCATGTAAACCGTTTCAACCAAGGCGTACTAAATTCAGAAACCAGCATGAACAAATCATCAAAGACTCCTTTTTCGCCGACGAAGCAGCTGCACACCTCGAAACAATGCCATGGGCAGCGCCGCAGATGATGACCTTAACCCTGCATACGAAAACCGTTTATTTATCATGGCTGGCAAGGCAATGTGGATTTGACGGATGTCCACCACGGCAGATCTAGACCACATCCTCAAATTGCAAAAGAACCACAGAACACCTGGACCAGATATCTGTCCAGCTGACTTTTTTAAAAGTGGCTAGACAACGCCACTAGGTACATTCTGCTTGAATGTTTCAACGACATTCTAGAGAGAGAGAGAGAGAGAGATCTACCCTGAAAGCTTTGGACTAGCAAACATTGTCTCACAAAAAGAGAGATGCAACGCAGATGAAAAACTACAAACCTATGCCTATAGCCCTTTTGCAAACATTATACAAAAATATACAAAATCTTCGCAGGACTCATAAAAAATCGCCTTATAGAAACATATGACCCTTGGATTCAAAAACGTCAATATGGTTTCCGACCATCTCAAGCAATCTCCATTGCCCGGCGCCTAATGGATATTTCAGAACGCAGAGGATCGAATCTTTCCTTGGTTCTACTAGATTGGAAAATGGTTTTTGACAAAGTCAACCAAACAAAACTTCTACAAGCTCTTCGTAGATTAAAGGTACCACCACGTATGCTTACAGCTATTGAACACATCTACTCATCTCCTAGACTCAGAGTCGCAACTGGTGGACACAATTCGAGTTACAGAATACAACGCTCAGGAATTAGACTTTGTTATTCTTATGTCAACCCTTTTCCATGATATCAAACAAAGACGCACAACACCAAAACAGAAAGAACCCCTAAGTATTGTATGCGGATGACACACTTATTTTTGGTAACTATACTCATCACCGAAGGAAGTTTAGAAGTCAAACTTCCGACAATATGGACAGATGGAAAAAGCAGAGATGGGAAGAGCCAGAGAGGAGAAGAAAAGAGAAAGTCTAAGAAGAAAGAAGATGCAGGTGCGCGAAAAGATAGAAAAGTCGCGATTCACTGTGTTTTTACAATGATTTGTGGCTCGCTCCGGAGGGTCGAAAGGTAGGCTCGCTAAAGCGGCGGGTGCGGAGCCATGTGGTCAGATGAGAGATGAAAAGTTGCACGCCGTTGCGGCGCGAAGCACATGTCCAAGTCAAAATGTACAAAGCACACCAACGTCAGACCACTTTTGGAAGTTGTGATGTCGAAAAAGTGCACGCCGTTGTGGCGCGAAGCACATTTGGAAGTCAAAATGTACAAAGCACCTCAGTGTCGGAGCACGTTTGGAAGTTGAGATGTCGAAAAATGTACGCTCTTGTGGCGCGAAGCACATTTCGAAGTCAAAATGTACAAAGCACACCAGGTTCGGAGCACTTTTTGAAGTTAAGATGTCGAAAAAGTGCATGCCGTTGTTGCGCCAAGCACATTTCGAAGTCAAAATGTACAAAGCTGAGGGGTTGGGAGATTTTTTGGATGGTGGTTTTGCGTGGCCGGGGCAAGGGATTGTGCACCGTGTCATAAATGAGCAAAAGGTGAGGGTTTTGTAGCATTTCCACAAACGATGGCAGGCGTGGGACATTTGAAGAGGATCTGCAAAGATGCATTTTCTGTGGCAGGCGCAGTGCAAGAGACATGTTCATCAGAGATGTTAGGAGGTCCGGGCGCTGATTTCCTGAGAGGGGTTGTGCAGTTTGGAGCATCAGATCTTCAGTTTTGCGTGACAGGTGCAGCACTTCGTATGACCTGGCATCACTTTTTCATACTTTTTCGTGGCAAGCGCAGTACTTTAGACAGGTGGAGTGGAAAAATCGCAAAACGCATTGGTACGACGAGGCCGTCAGCTCTGCACGCAACTTTCCATTTTTGAAGGAAGTCTCGCAGAATTGCTTCGTTTTTTATGTTGTCAACTTGGAAAATGAGGAAGTCTCGCAGAATTGTTTCGTTTTTGACGTTGTCAAGTTCAAAAATTAAGGAAGTCTGGCAGAATTGCTGCGTTTATGATGTTGTCAAGTTCAAACGTTGAGGAAGTCTCGCAGAATAGCTTCGTTTTCAAGCTTGCAGATAGACAGATAGATAGATAGATAGATAGATAGAGAGAGAGAGAGATAGACGGATGGATAAATAGATAGATAGATAGAAAGATAGATAGGTAGGTAGGTAGATAGATAGATAGGTAGATAGATAGATAGATAGATAGATAGAGATATAGAGATATAGAGATATAGATAGATAGATAGATGGATGGATGGATGGATGGATAGATGGATGGATAGATGGATAGATGGATAGATGGATAGATGGATAGATGGATAGATGGATAGATGGATACATGGATAGATGGACAGATGGATAGACAGATAGACAGATAGATAGATAGATAGATAGACAGATAGACAGATAGAGAGATAGAGAGATAGAGAGATAGAGAGGTAGAGGGATAGATAGGTAGATAGGTAGATAGGTAGATAGGTAGATAGGTAGATAGGTAGATAGGTAAGTAGACAGGTAGATAGATAGATAGATAGATAGACAGATAGATAGATAGACAACTACAACTACAACTACAAGTACCACTACATTACATCTAATTACAGTACAACTACAAGTGCAAATATACTACGCTGCATTACACAACACTAATTACACTACGCTACACTAGTTACATCTAATTACGCTACACTACACTGATTTTATACACTACAGCAACAACTACAACTACAACAACAACAACAACGACGACAACGACAACGACCACGACCACGACGACGACTATACGACTACGACTACCGACTACGACTACACTGACTACACTGACTACACTGACTACACTGACTACACTGACTACACTGACTACACTGACTACACCACCACCACCACAGCTACAACTACAATTACAGCTACACTACATTACACTACAATACACTCATTAAACTGCAGCACATTACAGCTACAAATAAAAAATACAACTACACTACATTACACAACGCTACACTACACTAATTACATTGCATTACACGACAACTGCAACTACCACTACATTGCACTACACGACACTACACTACAACTACAGCTACACTACAATACGCCAGGCTACACTACACTATACCACGCTACAGTACACAACACTACAGTACACTACAATACACTACACTAATTGCACCACACCACAACTACAACTGCAACTGCAACTACACTACACTACACTAATTACACGACATTACAACTACAACTTACAACTACACCTCCACTACACTACAACTACAACTACACCCACACCTACAACTACAACCACAACTGCAACTGCACTACACCACACTACATCCAGCAGTTGTGGTGAGGTGACCACTGCAACGATTGCAACCACTCCAGAAAACACAACTCCAACCACCTTTCGGTCCATCAGTGGATTCGCTTTGCCATCCGTGATTCACAACAACCAACCTCTCCTATAGGTTTCCTATTTTTGAAACTTCCGCCACCGCCTTGCGCGGTACTACCGGTATCAATCTATCGCTTCAAGAAATACAGCTAGAATCGAAACACTCTAATATGGAACTGAACTTAGACAAATGCGTGAACCTCACTCTCAACCCAAAACATCATCCATCAAATACCTAGATGGCACGCTTGTCCCTCGAAAAGGGTCAGCTGTATATTTTGAAACATTGCTCACAGACACCGTGGACAATCACAAAGAAATCATGAATCCGACTACTGATTGCACCCGTACATGTAACAGGCTCAAATTGTTCTGGAACAAAACGCGGACATCAATCAAATGGAAAGTCCAAGTTTTCCATTCCATCGTCAAAAGTAAAATGATGTATGGATTGGAAACTATACAATTGAATCTAACGGATCAAAAGAAAATAAATAGTTTCCAGGTGAATGGATATCAGAGGATTCTACATATACCCCCTACGTACATCGACCGAACAATGACAAATGACCATGTCAAGTACCAAATTGAAATCGCTTGAACACTCAAATAAAAATGCCTTCTTCCATGTGACAGCGTAAGATTTCACGTGTTGGCCATATCATTAATTAGATCTGAACCTACCCTATGAGACAAGTTCTGTTTGAAAACGGAACCTAATGAATACCCAGGCTCGAATTTCGTACATGTCCCGAAAAACCTCGGCAACACTGGTTATCAACAACATATACGGATGCCTATCAAACTTTCAATCAACTACACCCATTTGACATGGACACCCTGACAACTAGTCAACGACCTAGCTCTCCAGAGAATGGGACTCTTTTCGTGATTCATCACCGAAAAACGTCACAGAACATCATCACCGAACATCGTCACCGAAAAGCAGAGGGCCTTCTCCCTGCCCTGCCAATTTGCTCCAGTGTAATTGGTTTTATCATTTCATTTTTTTTTATATCTTTTATATTCAGATTCCAATCATGTCTCCTCTACTTTAGGTTTTGACAAGGCGATGCAAGTTAAAGATAGGATTGTGCGTTTGTGAAAGATCATATTACAATACATAATATTATATGGTGGTGTTATGTACTATTATGTGGTATTATGATGTATTGTGTAACATTATCTAATATGATGTAACTTTATGTAATTTTATGTACGTAATATTACGGTAGTATTACCCACAGGCACCGTGTGTTGCCCAGACCCACAACTATGATGTTAGATGATGTTGGATGATGATGATGATGATGATGGTGATGATGATGATGATGACGACCGCGATCGCATCGCTTGGCAAGCAGCCAGTGCCCAGTACAACTTGCGAACCCAGTATAGGCTGGGTGCGGCAATCAAGAAATAGATCATAACATGTTAAGATATCCTGAGGGATTAAAATCTGCCACCCCCTCTGAACTATATATTAAAATTAGGAATAACATGAAACTTGATCTTCATGTCATCATGAGGGATTAAAATCCGCCACCCCCTTGAACTCTATATTGAAATGGGAAATAACATGTCAGATATCTTCATATCATCATGAGGAATTAAATTCTGCCACCCCCTTGAACTATATATTGAAATGGGTAATAACATGTCAGATATCTTCATATCATCATGAGGGATTAAAATCCGCCACCCCCTTGAACTCTATATTGAAATGGGTAATAACATGTCAGATATCTTCATATCATCATGAGGAATTAAATTCTGCCACCCCCTTGAACTATATATTGAAATGGGTAATAACATGTCAGATATCTTCATATCATGAGGGATTAAAATCTGCCACCCCCTTGAACTTTATATTGAAATGGGAAATAACATGTCAGATATCTTCATATCATCATGAGGAATTAAATTCTGCCACCCCCTTGAACTTTATATTGAAATGGGAAAGAACATGTCAGATATCTTAATATCATGAGGGATTAAAATCTGCCACCCCCTCTGAACTACATATTGAAATGGGAAATAACATGTCAGATATCTTCATATCATCATGAGGGATTAAAATCCGCCACCCCCTTGAACTTTATATTGAAATGGGAAATAACATGTAAGATATCTTCATAAAACTGCCGGGGGCGTCCCTGTAAATCTCCGGGCAACACACAGCGCCTGGTCGTAATATTATATATTAAAGTGTAATATTATTGCTATGTAATATTATTATGTAACATCGTGTGATATGATGTATATAATATTAGGTAATATTATCTAAGATGATTATTCCTTGGCACAGGGTGAAACTTTGTGCATTCCCTTTCTTCCTCTCACTAATTCTCACTCTCACTCCTCATTCTCCGACCTGTGGTCAGGTTGGAGGTCTACGACCAGTGCCTGGAAGGAGCTACATTGCACAGGTCGAGTAGTTTCGATTAGTGATATATGCCACCAAGAAAAGAAGAGTTGAGTTGTTCTCTATTGCTTGCAGTGCTTGCAGAGACTCTGCCAAGCAGATCTTCATAAAAGCATCAAAATTTCAAACCAAGAGTCTGCCTGATAAGCAATTGTGTGGTGGGCAAAGATTGAGAGTCAAGTTGAGTCAAGATAACAAAACTTAAATTCGCATCAGGTCCGGTGTGTTGCCCAGTGTGGGTGTGAGTCTGCTCCGTTTGTGCCTGAGAAATCTCTGACAAAGAGGGCTTCAGGGCTTTCGTTCACTGCATGACACTTTCAGTGATTCAACAAGGTCAAGTCCAGCTTACTCGCCAACGATTGGCAATGGCTCGTTGCTGCCTTGTACAAAAGCGAGTCCAGCCACTGTTCAAAGGTTTCTCAAAGGTTTTTCAAACGTTTTAAGATGCACACGTTGACTTGATCTGCCTCGATCTGCCTCGAGCCGCCTTGATCCGTCTTGTATGTTTTTGCGTTTGGAATACAGCTGCCAAGGTCAGAAGGCTCCCCTGGAGGCAGGGTCTCCCAAACAGTTCCAGCACGTTCAGGTTACAAAGGCATCGTGTCCTTTACATAGGAAAGTTCTGTCCCTCCAGGGTGAACGTTCGCCCATAGTTTCATTGGAGATTCAGACAGTTTAGAGTTCATTTAGGATTTGTTTTTAGGGTTGGTCTAGGCGTTATTTAGGGATATTTAGGGTGGGTTTAGAGTCTATTTAGGGTTGGTCTAGGGTGAATTAAGGATTGTTTCACGGTTGAATTATGGTTGGTTTAAGGTTAATTTTGGTTTTATTTTGGTTTGGATCAGCGTTGGTTTAGGGTTATTTTGGCCCGGATTAGGGTTGAGTCGGGGGCTTTGGTTTCCGGAACTCTGAAAATGCAAGCATGGTTCAATCTTTTGGCACCAGCTTAGGTGTATGCAACAAGACGCCGGCAATATCAATAGTCAATATTTAAACTTTAAACCTGTTCAGCTTGTGGCAGTTAAGCGACCCAACAGCAACGGTCCAACGTTGAATATCGTCGATTTCGGACAAACGTCAGCTCGAAGCATGAATGAAGCGGTTCAATCACAAGTTCCCAGCACCTGAAGCAGGTCTGATTCCGACGCTCCTCACTTGCACTTAGTTCAGTTATGTCGAGTTTGTATCTTTTGTTGAGCTCGTCGATGTTGCACTTTTTGTTTGCGTCGCCCTAGCGTCTTAGTTTGTGCAGGTGGAACAACCCCGATCAGCAGGCCACTCTGTCAAAGTGACGCAGAATCGCTTTGCTCATCCAACCAGATCCAACCAATCCTGCCAGGCCAGCACATCGGGCACAGTCGGCACAGTCCAAATGCCAAGTGGCTTTGCATTTTCTGGAAATTGGTCAAGTGGCACGGAGCCACAGCACATATCGAAGGGAAAGTCTTGAAGGATGATTTCAAGTGGCTTTGCATTCAGATGCATTCAGATGCATTCAGTGCTTATTGTTGGTATTGAAAGATCGAGAGGACAGTTTTGAGGACTGTGTTGCTGCACCAGGCCCGGGACCCATGGCAGATGCTTCACCACTATCTGTGCACATTGCAAACTCTCCAGATGGAAGCCGCACACATGGTTGGGTGCCTAGAAATGCCCAGACTGGCGAGCCCAGAGCCACAATGTGGATCCATGGATCATCATGGATCATCATGGATCCAAGCTTTCAGAGCTTTTTCATTCGCAAGGGATGTTTGAAGCTACGCAACGCTCCAGGTGCTGAAACCACTTTGGAAGCTGCCCTTCAGGAGAAATGGAGCACAGATACGCACGGATACACGCAGTAAACGGTTGTAAGCAGATCTATACAAATCAGATGAGATTTTGCCATAGCTGCGCACGGCTTTGAAATGCTTTGAATGTCAATGAAATACAGAGATCCAGGCACTGACGCAGACGTGTCTTCCGGTTTGAAAACCACGGCAAAAAACAAAACCTGCACCAAAGAGTCCAAAGAGCTGATATTTCCGCTTCCGATTGTATTTTTGGATCTGCTTTAAAAGGCAGGACAGGAAATGCAGGTGTTACGACTATGGAAATTGTGCGGTTCTACTTTCTGTTCAGTCAGGTCTCCCATGTCGCCACTTTGGAACTGCCTCTTCTTATGCTTGGCAGAGCTGTGGGTTGGCTGGTTAGTGTCCGCACTGTCCTTATCTTGTTGCTGCTTTGCGAGTTTCATTCCAGTTCTTCCTTGTCATCCTTGTCGTCTTTGTGCCTCTCCCTGCGGTTGTGGCTGTTGTGGTTGCCGTTCTTCTGCCGCCGGTGTGGCAACAGACTGTGTGGCCTGTCTAAATATTGCCTGTCAATTTTTTGATAAGATAGGATTCCCAACCCTTTGAGCTACCTTAAGGAGGATCATCATTGGCTTTTAGATCATAAAACCACGCCAATAACTACCCTTTGCTTGGGTCCGTTCCAGGTTGTAGTTTGGATCCTTTTCGAACAGGTTGTTTCAATGTACAATAGCACCCCAGCAGGACATGCCTTCAGACCTACAAAAGTCTGCCTCGTTCTCAGCGGAAACAGAGATTTTGTCGGAGACATTCTGCAGAGACATAGAGAGACTCTAGTCTTTTGTGTATCCAAGATTCTGATGATTGCATGACAAGTGCAGCGTGCTCACGAGACGATGAGAAAGTTGCAGACAGCATGAACGGATGAATGCAAGATGGATTCACAATATAATGCAGGGTCCATATGCCATAAATGATTACTCGATGGAGCTGACAGTACTACTGCAAGATGAGCACACAATTGTTGCAAAATGAAGAGACTATCCCTACCGAATTTGCGCCAACCGAAGGAGAGATTGACACACGACCAGCACAATCAGAGTGCAAGATTGACATAACAGAATATAACAGAGCTAAAAGACCGAACGCAAGATGATTCCAAGAACAGTGCTCTCTGGAGACCTCCAAGATAGTTTCAAGATGTTCAATATCATAATTATCATGCAAGAATATATGAACGGAAGATGATCACAAGCGCCCACGAGATGGTTGATTACAGCACAAGATAGAAACAAAATTAACACCAGATGAACAGCATGATCACAATGCAGATACAGTATTAGAGTATATTAGAGTACTATTACCACAAGATGCCGATACTGTGGACATCACAACATGATTAGAGCCTGTTGAACTTGAACTCGACGTGAGGGCAAGATGATCAAGACATGAACATGGGCTAAGACGAAACGAACCGAAGTTGACTATAGCCACTATACTTAAAATCCGCTCTACAAACAGGAAAAGGCATTGATTTCCTTTGCCATGACCCTATACTCCCTTTCCAGCTTGTATAACATGGTTTTCACCCAAACTGCATCGCTGCTGAAACTTTGACTTGGTGTGGATGTTGACACACTTTGTGACTTTGTCAAGACAATAAAAATCAATTAATTTATGTCAATCCTCATTTGATGTCTTTGACTTTCTTGCCTCTGACTCTGAATCGAGGCACCACTTATTCCACCTCCTGAAGGACCACCAGGTACCAAGGCCTTCCTGCAGGACTGCGGCAGCTACTGCTGTTTTCCTGTTTCCGCTTCAACGCAAGGTTTGTGACTCTGCACACACGCAAACACAGACGAGCACACCAGACAAGCACAAAACACAAGCGTATAGCGACGCTTCCAAACATGCAGTTTGATTTCATACTGACCGACCAAGGCATTTTCAAGGATTGAAAAAGCTACCCTTTGAACGGATCTCATCAAGAGAATTTGCCAATAAAAGACATAACGATGTTATCAGGATATTTTATACATCAATCATACATTCTTTGAATCAGAGAGGGAGAGAGCAAGAAAACTCATTCAAAAGATATTTTATACATCAAGAGGTTCTCAAGAGTTCCAACAAGCAGATCCTCTGCTTGAACAGACACTGATGTTTTGCAGCAACTTTGCGGAAAGATGCTGTACAGAGATCCACAGATCGTACCTGGCAAGCAAGACAATCAAAACTACCTTCATCATCCTTTATCAAATCAGAATAGATCTTGCAAATAGGTTTCGTTCTTTCGAATATCAGAGAGACTAGCAGAGAGTCCCTGCAGACCCAATATCTCAATATCGTGTAAAAAGGCGCCAAAGAGATCTTGCCGGGAGATTTTACACGATACCTACAAATCAATCTGCTTTTGACTAATTATCCTCTTTTATAACTCTCGAAATACATTGTTTGGAATCGCCTGGCAGGGCAAGTCTATTGATTTCAAGCATGTTTGATTTTTGTGTTTATATAGATCATCTCGCTCGGTGGGACACCAAGGTTTGACCAAGGCAACAAAGGAAACGAAGCGTGCATCACACTTGCTGCCCAAATGCTCCTCATTCGACAAGCGCTAGGAAGGGGTATATATATGATATATAACGATATATATATATACATATAATACATATATAAATGAATGTATCAAACACATATGTATATGTATATATATATGTAAACAGTGTGTATTTATATATATATATATGTATGTATACATACTACCAAAGATAGTTTACTCCTGATTTTTCTACGTGTGCATGAAGGCTTGAAATATCCACTTCAATCAATTTGAAGAAAGCAGATTCCCCCTGACCTGCTGGAAAGAAAGTAACGATTTCCAAGATGCTCAGCAGGGGCACTGCTTGTGGTAATATAAGCGTCTGAATGTGACGAGTGATACCATTAGACTGATTCAATCCATACACAGTAGGCTTGAGTCCACCATCAGTCGGGTTGAACCTATGTATATATACAGTATGTATATATACAGTAATTATACAGTATTATAGATATACTACATATGTGCCCCATATTGTATAAAGGGAAAACGACAAATCTAACCAATGATTTCTTGAAGATTCCCGGAAGACAGTCATACATATTAGCATCATCAAAACAATTTGGGAAAATTGAACAATGCCAAGGCCAAAAGATGAGGGATGTCGTCAGAACATGACGGCTCCATTCAAAAATGCAGAACGGAAGGACCCCAAAGGTTTGCCTGTTTATGCAATGTCATGTACAAAAAATGCGGGAATTTGGGAATGTTTAAGTCAGTGTGTGATGAGGTACTTTTGAATCTTAGAAACAGCTTTACTGTGATGAGATGATGCAGCTTTAAGCACACACTTGCTCAGAACAATCTCTGCGAATTCTGATGTGGAATGCATCTTACGTGCAAAAACACTCCAGTTATACCTGACAGGAATGGGTTTATGAAAGAACCCGAGAAGGTATCGAAAAGTTTCCATTGTCAAAATATGACAGAATGCGGCAACTGTACATTCAACGAAGTAACATCACGTGGAGTTTCGTTTCAAAAAGTGAATTTTGTGGAAGGTTCGACGTGCCGGTTCTTGGCTGAACCGGTTGCCGTTCAGAGAAATGATAAAGCGATGCAGGTACGCAGAGCTGATCAGGCTCTGTATCACCACGAACTGACAGTGTCTTCGTTGGGCAGCGTCTGTCAGTCGTGCACTGCCCCCCTGCAATGACTGTTAAGTAGAAAAGACACAACAGCTAGTGAGGTGGACCTAAAACCAAAGAAAGCAAAGGCAACTGACATCATCAGGTAGAAGTTTTACATCTATTCAGATGTTTCACACGCACACACAGACCAAGAATAATAATACTAAGTGGGTAGTCAAGATTTGCTAAGTGTGAGGATCTTGAAACTGCTTGGCGACACTATCAACTTGAAGTGGGGACTTGGAGGAAAATCTAATGCCATGATATGATGTGAAAGGCGCAGCGACACCGGAAATGATTTTTTTGAAGCAACACAACTCAGTACAAAGAGAACAAAACGATTACAGCTCAGTCAAGCATTTTAAATGATTGCAGCCGATTGCAATCCGATTGCATAATCCATGCGCGACACACATTGTAGATCATGCTATCAAAATACAACTGCGACCGCTCCAGTTTTGCTCGTTTGTTCAAAAACATACCTTTACAAACAGGCTCTTAGAAAAATCAAGCTGCTGTTGAAGAGACAGTATGTGCGTAGGCACTGGCTAGTAAGGCTAGTAGAGCGAAGCTGAGGAATTGTTCGTCTGGTCACATTTCGGATTCACATTCATCAGGATTTCGGAGAGAAGGCAATCCAGAAGGAATTGCCTCCGGAGGCCTCCAAAGAGAAACTGCGCCAGTCTTGTCATGTCTTGTCGTTTCAAAGTGGTTCAGCTGTGTTCAAGCTTTGTTCAGCTGTGTGCACTATTTTCTGGTGGCGAAACGAAGGGCTGGAAGGGCTGCTTTCTTTGCTTTTCTTTCGCTGCTTTCGTCATGCTTGCTGCAGGTCACTGGCCAGGAAGAGTGCCTTATCCTAGATTGAAACGAGCGGCCCTGCCCTGCTGGCCTGATTTGCAGTTTGGATGTTTCAACATAACACGATGCACTTCAATGGTTTGCCATTTGGCCTCAAGAAACAACATGAAGCAAGTTCGACTTTGCCAGGCCGGATATCCATGGCTGAAACGCTCATTTGAGAGCTTTCAAAGGACATCCTGAGAGAGTCCTAGAGTTTGATACAAAAAAGTTGGTGGCACATCAAGAAAATGTGTTTCCCAAACATCAAGACATGTTCTTTTGGCCTTTCGTGCATGCCCCTCCTTTGAATAATTTTGTATGGAATGGGCCATGGGATGCTTCCAGCAAGGAAAGCGTGACCTGCTGTAGAACCGCAATAGTGGATACATATGCATAATTGCCAATAATTCCTGCACAGCTGTATACGTATACTGTAACTATGGTGATGTTGCGCCCAGGACATGCACTGCAAGAGCTCCATTAGCAAAATTCTCTTATTCGTGGTAATTATCTGTAATTTGTTTGTAATCATGATTATATATATAATACTATATAATCTTTTTTTGTAATATTATATAATATTTTATAGTATCATGTAATATCATATAATATTATATAATAGTATATTATATTATATTATATGATATGATGTTATAAAATATTATATAATATTATATAATATTATATAATATTATCTGATATTATCTGATATTATATAATATTATATAATATTGTTTGATAGTATAGTGTATTAAATTATATTAGATTATACTATTATTTACTGTACTATATTGTATGATATTATTTTGTTTTATATTATATTTTTTGCATTATATCATGTGATATTATATGTTATTATATTATTGTTTTTGTTATAGCATTTTTTATATTATATTATATTATATTGTATTATATTTTATTATATTGTATTTTAAATTATATATATATATTATTTCACCAGTAGTACCGCACAAGGTGGTGGCGGAAGTTTCAAAAATAGGAAACCTATAGGAGAGGTTGGTTGTTGTGAATCACGGATGACAGAGCGAATCCAGTGATGGACCAAAAGGTGGTTGGAGTTGTGTTTTCTGGAGTGGCTGCAATGGTTGCAGTGGTCACCTCACCACAACTGCTGGATGTAGTGTGGTGTAGTGCAGTTGTAGCTGTAGTTGTAGTTGTAGGTGTGGGTGTAGTTGTAGTGTAGTGGAGTTGTAGTTCTAAGTGGTAGCTGTAATGTAGTGTAATTAGTGTAGTGTATTGTAGTGTACTGTAGTGTTGTGTACTGTAGCGTGGTATAATGTAGTGTAGTCTAGCGTATTGTAGTGTAAAGTAGTGTAGTTGTAGTTGTAGTGTAGTGTCGGTGCAATGTAGTGGTAGTTGCAGTTGTAGTGTAATGAGTGTAATGTAATATAATGTAATTGGTGTAGTGTAGTGTTGTGTAATGTATTGTAGTTGTAGTTGTATTTGGAGCTGTAACGTACTGTAATTAGTGTATTGTAGTGTAATGTAGTGTAGCTGTACTTGTAGTTGTAGTTGTAGCTGTGGTGGTGGTGGTAGTAGTAGTTGTTGTTGTTGTTGTTGCTGCTGTTGTAGTAGTTGTAGTGCAATTTGTGTAGTGTAGTGTAATTAGATGTAATTAGTGTAGCGTAGTGTAATTAGTGTTGTGTAATGTAGCGTAGTATATTGGTACTTGTAGTAGTAGTGTAGTGTAGTGGTATTTGTAGTTGTGGTTGCAGCAATTTCTGAACTTGACAACATCAAAAACGAAACAATTCTGCGAGACTTCCTCAATTTTCGAAGTTGACAACATCAAAAACGAAACAAATCTGCGAGACTTCCTTCAAAAGTGGAAAGTTGAGTGCAGAGCTGACGGCCTCGTACTAATGCGCTTTGCGATTTTTTCACTCCACCTGTCTAAACTACTGCGCCTGCCACGAAAAAGTGAGGCCAGGCCTGAAGATCTGATGCTCCAAAATGCAACCCCTCTCAGGAAATCAGCGCCCTGACCTCCTAACATCTCTGATGAACATGTCTCTTGTATTTTCCGCCTGCCACGGAAAATGCATCTTTGCAGATCCTCGCCCAATATCCGTTTTTTGATGTTTTTGGAAATGCTAGAAAACCTTCCCGTTTTGCTCACTTTCAACACGGTGCACAATCCCTTGCGCCTGCCACGCGTAAGCACATCTGAACGTCCAAAGGCGCTCCGTACCCCACAGTTTTTTGCACTTTTGACTTCGAAATGAGCTTCGCGCCACAACGGCGTGTACTTTTTCGACATCGCAATCTCCAAAAATGGTCGGAACATGGTGTGCTTTGTACATTTTGACTTCGAAATGTGCTTCGCGCCACAACGGCGTGCACTTTTTCGACATCTCAACTTCCAAGAGTGGTCCGGACCTGGTGTATTTTGACTTGGACATGTGCTTCGCGCCACAACGGCGTGCACTTTTTCGACATCGCAACTTCTAACATTGCTCCGGGGCTGAGGTGTTTTGTACATTTTGACTTGGACATGTGCTTCGCGCCACAACGGCGTGCAATTTTTCATCTCTCATCTGGCCAGCTGGCTTCTTTTCGACCCTCCGGAGCCACAAATCATTGAAAAAACACAGTGTTTCGCGTACCTTTTTGCGCACCTGGATCTTCTTTCTTCTGAGACTTTGAGACTTTCTCTTTTTTGATATTATTTCTTCTTCTCTTCTCTTCTCTTCTTTGACTCTTTTCACCTCTGCTTTTCATCTGTCCATATTGTCGGAAGTTTGACTTCTAAACTTCCTTCGGTTATATTATACAGTAAAATATAATATAATAACATATTATACTATATTATATTATATTATATTTTATTTTATTTTATTATATCATATTATATTATATTAGATCATATTATATTTTATCATATCATATTGTATCTCATCATATTATATTGTATTAGTTTTATAATATCATAAAATATTGTACTATATTATATTGTATTATATTATATTATACTATATTATATTATATCATATCATATTATATTATATCATTTTATACTGCATTATTTTTTATAATATAACAAAGTATTGTATTGTACTATATTTCATTGTATTATATCATATTATTCAATATATTTTAATATTATATTCTATCTTTTTATTTCATTTTATATTGTATATTATTTTATATTAGATTACATTGTATTGTTTTATATAGTAAAATGTTGTATTGTATTACATAATATCATTTAATAGTATATTCGTTATTTATATTATTTATCATTTTTTCATTTATTGCATTATATTATATTTTTGTTATTTTTTTTATATTTATTATATTATATTATGGTTTTTTGGCATTATTATATTCTATTCTTTTCTGCTCTATTTTATTGTTCTCTCGTCTATTTTATTCTGTTCTATTCTCTTCCATTATAGCATGCTATATATTATTTTATTATATTTTATTATATTTTACTATATTATATTGTCTTTTGTTTTATTGTATTATATTCTATTTTATGTTATGTGATTAATTCTATTGTGCCCTATTTTATTTTAATATAGTGTATTATATTATATGATTTTGCATTATCTCATATTATGTTATATTATATTCCTTTTTTTCAATATATTAAGATTTTTAATATTCTATTCTATTCTATTCCATTCTATCCTATTCTTTGGTTTTTTATGATATTATATTTTATTTATATATATATATATTATATTGTATAATTTTTTATTTTATATTTCGTATCGTTTTTTAATTTGGATTTGTTTTTTTATATAATATTATATTTTATGTTTTTTATATTTTATTTTTTTTATTTCATTATATTACATGTTTTTATATTTTAATATGTTATTGTTTTATTTTGTTATGTTATTTTAATATATTATATTATGGTTTATTATATTTTTGTTATTTTTTATTTTATTATAATATATTATTTTATCTTACATATGTATTTTTTTTATATATGTAATTATGGTAATTTACAAATCTCATTCGAACGACCCAGGACATGGACTTGAGCGCACAAGACGCTCTTCCACGCTTTATCATGAGGACAAGCAGACGCCATGGTATTGGGTGCCGTGTAGGCAAACAAACCCTTTGGAAAACCGGAAAGGATGGAAAAAAAATATGCATCAATACGTGGAAAGATATGACAGGAATTCACAGGAGATATTCATTTTGGCTGTTTCAGACCTGAATGACGTGGAAGAGCTTGCAACGCCACTGACCACATGTGGCCACTATGTCCTGTCCAGGAAGAGTGCCATCCACGAAGCCTGATGGAACTCTGATGGCCTTTCACTCCGTTGCACTGGTGGTTTACACCCTGCAACGTGCATGTCAAAGTGTGCACGACAGTGCACGATACACACCCACAGACTCTGATCGAAGTTGTTTTTCTTCCAAATGTTCCATATGTATGTATGTTATAAATACATATAAATACATATATATGTATATATATATATATGTACGTATGTATGTATGAATGTGTGTATGTACGTATGTATGTATGCACGTATGTACGTACGTACGTACGTACGTACGCACGTACGTACGTATGTATGCATGTATGTATGTATGCATGCATGCATGCATGTATGTATGTATGTATGTAATATATGATATATGTATACTATATATATATATAGACTGTATATATATAGACATACATACATATACTGTATATATATACACTGTATATATATGTGTGTGTGTACACACATTGCCGCTAGTACATACATATGTGTATATATATACAGTACACATATTGATATATTATATAATATGTTATGTATATATGCATACAATGCGTACTTTAGCCTTGCTCTGACTTGTCTATATACTACTTGCCTAGGATTTCTCTATGTATCATTGTGTCGTTTCATGCGATCAAAGACCAACTTCAGCATCGTGATACAAAGTAGAGTCAGCAAGTGCTGGAGATCTCCCCAATTGTGTTGTGACAGCAACTCATTTGTAGCATTTGCCTAACACATTGTCACATGTGTTCCGTTTGTGGACACAAAGGAGAAACCAGCAATCTGCATTTGAGTTCAGGTCTGCATCTATTGATGCAACCGGAAATTCACGAGCTGCCAGGAAAAAGCACTGAACAGCAAACGTCCTGTGATTTGGTGGTCGTGGTGCCCTTGTCCAGGATACAACTTCAATAGTGGACATTCAGGTGCACAAAGAACTTCAAGTTCGAGAACTCCAGGTGCACAAAGCGCGTTCGAGAAAAAAAGCATTTCGGAAGCTGAAGAGCAGACAAGATGATCAAAGATTCAATACTCAGCATTGACTCAGCATATTTCAGCATATCTCAGCGCACTCCGGATGTCAGACAGATTTGAAGGGATTCGAAGAGATTCCCCTTGAAGTGAGCAATCAAAATCATCAAATCACTCATGCTCTGTGAGCGTGTTCAGCGCACCCTTGAAGTGCAACGACCTCAGCCACCATGGCCCGCAGCCATGGTCCAAACTGGAGACACATTATGAATCATTATGACATACCGTAGTCTACTGTATTAGTGACATATCATGAAATCCAATGCGGCTGATTTTTTGCATTTAAAGAATTGTGAAGATACGTTTTCAACCAGTTTGGGGGAATAATTTCCAAATCCAAGCAGCAATAGACTCAAATTGTCCACCAGCAGTTGGGATTCTGTGTGTAGACAAGCATGTCTATGTTGCCCATGAAATGCAAGGACCCAGCTTGTGGAGTTGGGCTCACAGGGAGACCCATGGCAATCTGAAATGATCTGAATAGCATTGAATAATATTGAATAGCTGTGTTTTCTGTGTTTGTGAAGTTTCTGTTGTTACTGGGGTCCACCGCTACCCGTGAGGAGACTGTACCCAAGGGTTCTCGGCGTCGGAGCGCCCTTCGTCGAACTTCTTTACTTCCTGCAGTGGTTCTCTTCTCGTGATGGCCCCAAAAGATCACTTCTCACCTTGGAGAAGCATGAAACAAAATTGAAAACAACATTGAAACATATTGAAACAAATCAGCGGTTTCATGTGACTGAACATCTCTTGTCGTTATTCGTTGCCAAGGTCCTTACTCATTTTCAAGGGGATCAACGATGCGTTTGTCGCCACGAGGCTGAAGAGCTTTGAGCTGCCCGTGTTTCGTTTTGTTTTTCTTTTGAAATCACAACCTACTCACAGACAAGACTGTCCAATTTCCACTGTCCATATTACCATGTTACCGCATGTTGCTGCTTACAAAGTGGGCCGTTTGACGGTCACTCACATTTGGCTGAGTCATTGAGATAGACGCGCAAACAGGCCCATGTAATCATGTATACATACATATCCACACGCGTATACATATATTATATACCTATTTAGGCAATGCACATGCCAGGTCTCCGAGAAATCCAGAGAGGCACTTGCGACATGCAGGACTTGCAACATCTTGCGACATTTGCAACACATCTTGCAACACATCTTGCAACACATCTTGCAACACATCTTGCAACGCATCTTGCAACACATCTTGCAACACATCTTGCAACACATCTTGCAACACATCTTGCAACACATCTTGCAACATCTTGCAACAGCTTGCTGCTTTCAAGCAGAATGAATCAAATGTCAATTCACTAATATAGACGTCACATCCCTGCGTTCAGTACAGGCTGTGTTTGTTTCAAAGCTGCGGCTGTCAAGGAGCTCAAAATGTCGAAGTCATGGAGCGGGTAGATGTTTTTGCCTCAGAAGCTCTTGGAACAATTTGGAACATGTAAGAAAAGGAGGAACAAGGCACTTGGTAAAGACCGCATTTTCTTTGTACACTGAAGATGTGCTGTCCCGAACTGATGCAGCTGTACCGCAGTGAGGCTGCAGAGAAGTCTAAGCAGGAGCTTCTAAAGGTGCGGAGTCCAATGCTACACAGAAGTCACAGGAGGAAGGTAAGAAGCAATGAGAGAGAGAGAGAGAGAAGAAGGAGAAGATGAAGAAAAAGGAGAAAAAGGAGAAAAGGAAGAGGAAAAGAAGAAACGGAGAATAATCAGAACGTGAAGAGGGAGGAGATGAAGAACAAGGAGAAGAAGAAACAGGAAATGAAGAAATGTAGAAAATGACGAATTGAATAAAAAGGAGAAGAAGGAGAAGATGAAGAGAAATTGGAAAATGAAGAGGAGAAGAAACAACGGAGAAAGATCAAAACGTAAAGAAGGAGGAGATGAAGAACAAGGAGAAAAAGAAGAAGAATCAGGAAATGAAGAAACGTAGAAAAGGAAGAATTGAATAAAAAGGAGAAGAAGAAGGAGAAGATGAAGAAAAAGGAGAAGGAGAAGAAAAAGAAGAAGAAGAAGGAGAAAAGGAAGAAGAGAAAGCAGGAGGGGAAGAAGAGGTTGCGCATAGAATTTCTAGAAGAAGTTGTACAAAGAAGTTGCAGAGGCATTGCATGGTTTTGTACAGATTGCCCTAAGAAAACCCATAACAAGTTGACCTTGCACCAGATTCCCCATTCGATAGGTTCCAGAGGACTCTCAGCCTCCGGGCCACAATGACAGACCATGACTTAAAGGGAAAAATCGAACAAGCATGTAAGCAAGGGCCACAAGCAAAGGTGAAAAGGGACACTGGGGGCCGTGCAGGCCTCTGAGTCGTTGGAAATGGAAATGGAGAAAATTGAAACCAAGCTGCGTAAAGCTACTGCGCCTGGAACCTCAGAGGGCAGAGGGACCATACAAAGTTTGGCATTTATTCGATGATTGACATGCCTCAAATAGCTGCTCGATACTATTTGTCCAGTGCCACGGAAGTCAGGTTCAAGTTGCCAGAAAGGGACGAACTCAGAACCCAGGTGATCTCAGTCCTGTTTTCTTTATTTATTCAATTGTCATGTTGCCACAGTTCTTGCCCTTTTCGATTTGTGATCTGTCCTTTGATGTGCAGTCCTCGGTCTTTGTGGCATTTAAGATACTGGCAGACTTGCTCCATAAAGCTTGGAGATGGCACTCTTGAAATTCCTATTGAAGGATTGTAAAAAGGATTGATAGGGATTGTAAACACATGTTCAAACACCATAGAACACCCTTGGCCCAGACATATTGTCGTTCAGAACATGGGTTGGGAAATGACAATTGCGCCGGCAGCAACAGCTAGCAACACCCTGGAAGCAAGGCGATCACAACCCTACCCCCAAACGGTTACTTTCCACAATGGCCCAGCGAAGGCATAAAAGGCAATCGCTACCTTTCATTCTCAGTGTATTCTAGGTTTGCAACCACAGATCATTAAAACAATATAACCAATGATAAACATTAATTTGAGAAGCAGAGGGGCAGACTCGAACAGACTCTACTATGACTTCAGAGACTTAGCCTCCACGAGGAAGCTGGGGAGCCGCAGGTTCAGATCCAACGCCACAAATTCACGGTCGAAGGCTTAAACAGTCTAAACATGTCAACAAATGTAACATAGTTTAAACATGTTTCAAAATAATACGACATAGATCTTCAATGTCCTCTGTCATCGACAAAACACACAACTGTCCCTCGCCTTCTTGCTCTCCAGTCTGTTAAGAAGCATTGGTCAAAGCGTAGTGGTTGAGCGTGTCAAACGAAGGAGCCGGAAACAGCTACGCCTTCGGCAAACGACAAATGATACTATACCATGCCATACCATGCCATACCATGCTATACCCTTCCTTTATTTTCCTTTATCTTCTTTGGTTTCGTTGCTTTGTCGTTGCTTTGTTGTTGCTTTGTCGTTGCTTTGTCGTTGCTTTGTGGTTGCTTTGTCGTTGCTTTGTCGTTGCTTTGCAGCTCCCCCACCTTAGATGGGGACTTGATTACACTCTTGGTCAGCCCTGTGCCGCTCGGCTGACGATTGATCTACACATTCAAAGGACTATCGAAGTTTAAAGATCTTTAAAGTATACGATGTGACAATGTTTGATTCCTCGTTTTCACTCCGCTAACTTTGGATTTTTGCAAACTTAGCTCCGGCTCTCTAGCCATGCAACAGTAAGTATCAGTAAATTATATAGCTGGACAAACATGTTGTTTGACATTCCTTCGCAGTAACAACAAATCAGTGTGGCAAACTTGTCAAGGATTCCTCAACAATCATACCGGATTTTTTGCTAGGCCGCCTTGATACCACGACATTGCGAATGGCAGGCTGAGTCACTGCAGATCAAAATCAAGAAGATCGCTGATGAATTGGACGAACTGCAGAAACTTGCAGGCCTTGGATTCACTTCAATTTGCAACATGTTTTTATGGAAGAGCTTTAAAGAAATGTGCGCCATTCATATGATTCATGTGATGATTAGAGTCTTCATGCGGCCAATGGTTTCCACATCACGAGTTTTGCATGAACCACCTGGCAGAACCTGCAGCTGTGGAATCTTTAGAAGAGGATCAGATTCAGGCGTGATTGATTCTGATTGCTTCTCAAAGAATTTCAAGGAAGGCGTAAAGTAAAGCTAAAGTAAAGCATCAAGTATTCGATTCGTTCCATTCCTTTCCATGCATTCCTTTTCTTTTAATTAAATCTCAACTGATGAAACATGTGCAGCCGAGGAAACTTCAGCTTCCGACAGTGTGAACCTCAACCCTGATGTTACTCCACTTTAGCTCCGCATACTACTTCAGAGTCAAACAAGGCACTTGATATGCACTTGATTCAAGAACCGTTCAAGGAAAGTGGTTGGCCTTTGAACCAAATTTCAAACAAAAGGAGTATGCATGAGTATGCTTCTTATTTTGGTTTTTCATTTGGTGAGCTATGCCACACTTTCTACACTGCTACACACTTGTGAGAAATTTTGTGCCCAGGTCCAAGTCAGAAGGCTCCTTTGTCAGAAAGACTCAGCTGGGAGAAGTTGGAGGCAAGGTATGGCAAGGTGCTGTTCGTAACAGGCTGTAGGGTACTGTAGATTTCCTGTGCCAAGCATTGAAGTACGTAGGGCATGCAATGTCAAGGTGTTGAAGGATCGCCTGTGCTCAAGGCCATGTCAAATGAGGAAAGACTGGCACTCACCCAGGACTCGTGCGGAGCAGTGGGCTGTCAAAGTAGGGCTCTCACACACTGCACTCTTCATTCAAACTGCCAGTAGATCCAGTAGCAGGCAAATGCAGCCACAGTAGATCCACAGCCACTTGATTTGGCAGATCATGACACATTCAAAGTACATGGCGAAGTTACTATACCACGGGCACTGAACCCTGAACATTTTGCGGGTGTAGTGTTTTCATACATTGTCAAGTTTTTCAGGTGAGGAGATCAAGGATGTGCAAGTTCGGACATTTAGGGAGGCACTGTGGAACATTGACACTTTAATATGAGTTTAAAGCGCACTCCTGAGTGCCACAAGTTAGTAAGTCCAGTGTCCTGTCCATTTCTAGTGATCGCATTGTCCTTTTATGATCAATGGTGCTACCATGTGATCAATCCAACACCTCTGTGCTATTGTCAGAGCTCGAATTGAAATTGTGTTGTGCAATTCCTCGCACTGAAACCCGGATCATTGTGGATGTTACCCACTGACTGCGCATAGAACGCAAGTTGCAGTAACTTTCACAGCTGCTCTGCCTGATATGATAGGAGGAATGCTGTTCTTGAGTGTCTTGTGTAGGGCCATCGTTGGATTGTCTATCATACAATATCATATATGGATGCATGCAAGATTAAGATGACAAAGTGAGCACAGGAAATCGGCCCCGCCTTTGGTGTCTCTGTGGGCATTGTGGCATTTGTCTATTGGCCTGGTGCTCAGAGTGTTGCACGAAATCTGATTATCAGAGAGGCTATGCTGATGTTTCATACCGGATTCCCGGTATTTGATCACGAAAGGCTTTCAACCAGCTTGCTTCTTCGCCCTTTTTCAACATACATTATTATTATTATTACTAGTATTATTATCATTATCATTATCAAACTGTCTCGGCATGATCCGTCTTCTCCATCTCTTCGACCACTGTTCCTTGTGTCTGTATGCAGAATCTCTATAGACTCTATAGACTCTAGAGTATCTAAAGAAAGCCAGAGATATATGGAGAAGTATGGGTCACCACAGGGATGCTGCGGGAGCATGCCAGCAAATCTCCGTTAGCAGGAACACATAGTCTCCGTTAGCAGGAACACATAGCCTGTAGAGTTGGCCACTTCTACTACTTTGAAGAAAGGTTTCCAGGTTCACTCTGACATCTAGCTATTTCACTTTGCTTGGCTTGTCTTACATAGATGATGATACTAAGTAAGTATTTTCTTTATCATTTGTACGTAAAGTAAACATGCCGAGGCGCAATCGATTCTGCTGGTCCATCCTCTTTGATTTTTGTTGCGATACAATCATGCTATTGTGGACTCTGCGCTGTGATGTTTATGCCAAGCCGTACGTTTAAATGCAGCTATGCCAAGCTGATCCAAAACCGGACGGGTCTTCCCCAAGAAAAGTTGCGAATGTCCAGGCAAGGTATTTGTAGGCCTCTGATCTAGGTCTTTGTGACTTTGTCTTGCCTTGCTTTGTCGTACGTTTGTGACGGGCCCCTCCACACAGCCGGAATAAAGTAGAAAACCAAAGGTGGTTAGTGGTTTCCGTTCACTTCCCTTCATCATCTCTTTTGACTGAAATGCCAACGTGATAAAAAGATTGCCAGCTTCTGTGCCTTAAAAAGACCTGAGCTTATTTGCACAGATCTAATCCAAGTTGTTTTGAAACAAACATGAATTAATGATAATACATGCATAAGAATTCCAAGGCAACTTGCAAACAGTACGGCAGACACCTTTCACGGCTCAGGTCAATCACCCTGCCAATTTTGCTCAACGCATACTATCAAAGTACCGGCGAATGGCCACGATTTGAGGCTTGTGTATCAGACATATCAGAACATATCAGAACAATCAACAGATCTTGGCAGTTGACTTTTGGATCCTCAGCAACTGCCACCATCACCGTCGACAGTCGCCCATTGTTTTTTCGGTTCCAGGAGCTCTTTTCCCTCTCAGATGGTGGTAGAACAGCTGGTGCAGTTGCAGGCCAGAAAGACTTCGCGCGCCAGACGCACTTTTTTTGTTCAAACTTTGTGAAACTGTCTGAAACTGTCATCTTGGAATCTTGGACCAGGAATTCTGGGGCTTGCAGCCTTGATGAAGCCATTGCGCATCGCTGCTGCAATAGCCCTCACACCTTGGACAGTATGGGGCTTGAAAGATCCTACAATGAACGCAAGAAAAGGAGAAAGAACTTGCACATTCCTTTCTCAAATGTTGCAACCACATCATGAATCCTCATGACATGAAGAACAATGAGCTGAGGCGGACAATGTGCTTCCACTGATACCGTGGTGCCTCCCCTAGAGTGAGTTAGAGACTCTCGTATTGGATATGCAAACTGTGTAGCTGTTCGGCAGATAAAGTTTTTGCATCGCTTGTAGCAGAGGAATTCGCCTGAGTCGACTTTGACATACTTTGACTCTCATACTCTCATGATTACACCAATCTGCATGTTGCATCCCGGATATCAATCGCTGCTGGAGTCCTAGAGATACTTCAAATAAATGGTTATTATATATTATTATATTATGTTGTTGTATTACTGCTTATGTCATATGTTGTGTTAGGTTGTATTGTATTGGCACATGTTCGTCTTTGCTGGTGCAGCTTACAGGCTGAATTCTGCGAAAAAGGACAGCATCGAACTGCAATTGTGTTTAGCAACACTCTTGACATCTCTTGACTCTCGATCAGTATCTTCAGTGTTTACCTTTGTGGACAAGGAGGAGAAGGAGAAGTCTGACAAGCCCTGAATAGAAACTGTACAGCAAATTCTTAACTGCGCAATTTTCCGCTCTTGCAGCGCCAAGCAGCTTGCCCGCTGGGAAAAGAAGCAATTGCTCGCGGATGGGTGAGCTCTGCGAACAAATTCAGGCGTATGACGTATGAGTCTGAAGAAAGCGCTATGCAGGCAGGAAAGTGCAACAGAAAACACGAGATGGAGATGTAGAATTATGTAGAGAACTCTGACCTTCCGGTGAGGTTACTCTTGAAATGTCACACAAGGCTGTATGGGCGAGTGGGCGTATCGTCCGTATCTAAACCAGAAGCCTCGCAATGTCTAGTGTTCAAACTCGGTTGGAAGACAAATTGCTGCCTGATGAGAGGCCGACCCCGGGCGATTCGCTCGTGACATACTGGAAACCTGGAAGTAGTTACCAGGATGTATCTAGATCTAGATAACTTCGCGTTCTGGTAATTTGAAACATGCTCAAGCAGTGTACTGCACACAACGTGCGAAGACAACCACAAGTACAACCATCCCAGCAGCAGTACCACCAGCACAACTACTGGAACCAGCACCTTCATTATTTGCAATAACAGAAACTGCTATCATCACAAGCAAATTGGCTGGAATCAAACTAAAAGCTCCAACATTGCCCTTCTCGAGCGATTATGCATCAAAGTCCATCATTCCTATGGGTTGTTCGGCGAAGAAACTGTGCCGGCGTGGACACATGTCAATACCCAAGTTTGGGCTCTGAGCGCATACTCCGCCAATGAAATCCTGGACCTTTCGTTTGGATTTATCCGGTGGAAAACAGTCAACATGAATAAACGGGGCCAAGCCATGCCCAGAGATAGTAGGGCTGTAAAAAAAAAAGACTGCTGGTGCCCGCACGATAGCGACACAGTCCACAGCTACATCTGTAAATGCCGATACCGCCGATACAGAAAAACATCGCCATGTTCTCACTGCCATTCGTTTTCGTTCAGGATTTTCGTTCAGGACCGTCAGGCATCGTCAGGCAGCTCCAAGAGTGAATCCAAAGTGAATCGCCAAAAGCATTCGAATCCCCATTCAGAGATATTCAGAGCTCCTAATTGCAGAGTGGCGCAAACTTGCAGCAGCTGATACTCAGCCATCGAGAAACAGTTTGTAATGGCTTGTCAAGGGTTCCGTTTAAGAACCAACTCACGCTCAAACCCTTTCGTTCCTGCTGGTAAGGTGAACAAAAAAGCGTTCGACAACTCGGAAGCGCCCATCGCCTGCGTAACAAAAAATGATAAAGATGTATTAAAGATGTATTAAAGATGTGACATGATGTGACGTGATGTGACCGATGCCCAACGAACCGCCCAGCAGAACGCAAGACAAGTTGTTTCACCCCGCCACCCTGGAGGTCTGGGCGTCTTAGCGAACGTTTGCCAACCAACTGCTTGGAGACCAATAGTGGTACTATATAATATTATATAATAACATGATCTAACATGATCTAACATGTACTAACGGAGAATGGTTTTGCGGCAAAAGGTTATCTTGAAACTTTGTTAATGTTTTATTTCAATTGTTTTTCAATGTTTTTCATGTAGCAGGCGTCGGTCACAGAAGATCGATAGACAAACTATGACAAAGTAAAGATGTCCAGCAAAAATGTTTGCTCCAGGATGTTGTTTTGTCCCCTTCTTGTTTTGCCCGTGTCGTTCGCAGTGACGTTTGAACATGCCAACGGCGCAGCGGCTGCTATGAGTGAACTGACGGAAGCAACGTGTTTGGATGGATGCCACTGTGCCTTTCCGCGGGCCGGCGCGGCAACACAATGGTATTCTTGTTGTTTGAGATCAGATATCCAGTTTCGTGAGCGAGTATCTGATGCGATTTGCTCCTGATCATATCATACTTGCAACCTTGAGCAGAAGCCTTTTTCCGTAAAGCCTACAGGGGCCTCGTGCTTGAAACGGCTGCAGTGGGAATTGGACTGGCTGCTTTGTTCGCTGTGTACTGCGTGCACTCATTATGGTCAAGGAACTTATCATGCGAACACCGCAACAGTTTAAGTACTATTTTGTACATTTTTGTACTTGTGTAGAACAGTTCTTGTGTTTTTGTGCTAGTCGTGATGGCGTTCGCCACTATATGTGGATCCTCGCTCGGCCCGGTCTATTTGGCCGGGATGATCTCGGCGTGGCGTTTCATTATACAGTATATCATGGTATATCCATTCTTGATGCAACAGTTGCGAAATGTTTGAAGCAGCCATGGTCACAAGGATGCCTGAATCTTTGCAACAGATTCACCATGATGGGGGGTAGATGGGGGTAGGACAGTAGCCGCATTGCCACAAGGGACGAAGACAGCTCTTGTAACGTACTTTCGTTACTTCTCTATTTCACTTCCGTTGTATTTTAGTCAATGTGGTTCGCCACCCTGCAAGCCTGCATGTGCGTTCAGTCCAGCCTGCATTGTGCATAGGACATAGGCGGCACTGTGGCGCTTCAGGAACGCAAGAAATTTTGCAAATTTCCACAGAATGCGACACCCCTCAATCAAATTTCAAAACGGAAACAAAACAGGAAAGCATCACAAACATTATGCAAATGTCATCCAGAAGTTGCTGTTGCACCTGGTACAAGTAGAAACCAGTCTCCACTGTCCCAGACACGGCAAAACGCTTCAGTTCTAGACTTCCATTTGGAATGAGATCCTGATGTATCCCACATTGTAGAATTGATGTCACCTGGTCTTTTTCCGCAAGTTGTCAATGGTCATCCGTGTCCAGTCTGGTACATGGCAGAACCAAGTATATAGAAAATTGTTTTATTGCCGAACCTGCGTGGCAACCTGATCATGCCGTCATGCCCAGAAATTTGTCTCCTACTATATCGCCATGATATTCTGATGCTGTTCTCAAAAAGTACCCTCTGGTAATTTAACATAGCTATTGAAAATGACCATTTATAGTGGATTTACCCATTAAAAATGGTGATTTTCATTATGTTAAATTACCAGAGGGTACACTCTATGCCAAGGCACCTTCCAACGACGGTAGAAAAAACGATACAAAAGGCTCATAGACAATCTCACCAAATCCAACAGATCGCATTATGTTCAACTCCAAAACAACGCATTGAAACAATAGCTGAAAAAAATATCCGAACCAATTTTGGATGCAGGACCATTGTGTCGCAAATGAGATCCTCGAGTAAAACGGTTTGATTGCCACTTACTATACTCTTTGCACAAGGCGTTTTTTCTCATTTATACTTGGCCATTTCGAGTCGTGGTTCGAAGGGGGCCCGTTCTCCCATAACTTAGTCCGTTTTTAAGCCAGTGCCACTGCATTTGGATATTTCATGATTTTCATGTGTATTTGGGTTCTTCACCTCCTTTGCTTGGAGCAGCTGGGAGCACTGATACTGCCTTGCTTGGAGCATTTGCTTCTGTACCATGATTTCATCATCAGTCCTTTGGAAAAAGATGCAGTGATATATTGTTTGGTTGAGCACGATGTCAGCTGGGCTGGAGGGTGGCCCTTGGTTATTGTTGTAGTTTTAACACCATCATCCACACCTCTTTCCACCCCGTAGTCATAGTTGCGCCATTCGCACATCTGGAGGCTAAACAGCCGTGTTATACGGATCCTCAAACAAGACCGGCCTGTAGTGTAATTTTTTTATAATTCTTCCTGGGCGTCAGAGAGCCGGCATCCCATCCCCATCCCCAAAACAAAGCAACAACAAAAAAAACGATGATTCGAAACAAGATAAGGGGAAAAAAACTTGGCTTCCAAGCCCGGTTGTAGCGGAACCTCTTGGATTTTGTTCCCTGCCTTGGCTATATGCACCTTAGAGTTGTGGTGCTCGCCTGTCTATACATCATAGCCTCCCCTGCGGACGGACTACCAGTCGTCGACCTCACCCAGGTCAGCACGCCTCCATCCCCGTCCTTCCAACTTATCAGCCACACACGTCCCCAGCTGCATCAGGGCACCCCGCCATACCTCCAACGAGCCTCTGCACAACAGCCCCCTGCCACAGAGGCTGAAGAAGGGTGTCCCATTTGCCTGGGAGCAATCCATGACGGAGGATCAGGGCCAACTGCCTGGCCTGGCTGCATTGACCCACTGCCGCCACACCTTCTGCGTGAGTTGTGCCACACACCTGGATGTCCAACAGCCACGGCCCCCATGCCCAACCTGCCGGCACGCATGGGACGACTCCTTTGGCCTTGTGTTCCGCGCACAGTGCCAGCACCATGAAGTCGATTTGCCAGACCGGCCCGCACCCAAAGACACACAAGCCCCAGCACGGCTACCACCAACCCCACCGCCACACATCCAGCTGCAATACCTACATACATACATACATTACCTTACCTTACCTTACATTACAATACATTACCATTACCATTACCATTAACATTACCATTACCATTACCATGCCATACCATACCATACCATGCATACACACACATACACACACATACACACACACATACACACACATACACACACATACACACACATATACACACATACACGCACATACACACATACACACACATACACACACACATACACACACATACATACACACATACATACACACATACATACACACGTACATACACACATACATACACACATACATACACACACATACATACATACATACATGCATTCATGCATGCATACATACATACATACATTCATACATACATACATACATTACATACATACATACATACGTACGTACGTACGTACATACATACATACATACATACATACATATTCAGTTTTACGAAGTAAAGGGGAGGCTGGCCAGCCCAGTTACCTGATTATTCAGGCGCTTGCTGTTCATTTCAGACCCACCCGCCCCCTCCATGAACCGTGAGAGCAGAGCCAAAACACTGTAATTTACAGTGTGTTTGTGACTTTAGCATGAAAAAGTACTTCTTGTAACATGTTGAAAACTCTGTAAATACCAGTGTTTGTGCTAGGCACTGGCCAAAAACATTGTAAATACAGTGATTTTTGTTACCAGAGTCAAAAAACATCGTAAATACTGTGGTTTTGGGCTTCCGAGGCGCAAAACACATCAGTATTTACGTGTTT